TAATTACTTCCGTTTCAGGCAAATTGCAGCAATTTGTTTTGTCAAAAAAAGAGTTTCTGCATTTGTATTTCGAATGGGCCAGCCAAAAAAGTTGCGCGTTGTTTTTTGTTTTTCATTAGATTTCGCCTAAACTTTTTAATTGAATTTCTTTTTATACTCTGTACATAAAATATACAAGAGTATATTAGGTTTGCGGGAGCTGAAAATGTAACAGGCAGAAGGAGGCGTGGCAGACCCCACAAAGTATATATATTCTTGATCAGCATGACGAGACGAGGCGATCTAGCCCTGTCTGTGTGTCTGTCCGTCTGTCCGTATGAACACCTGGATCTCAGAGACTATAAGAGCTAGAGACACCAAATTTTGCACAAAGATGCCTTATGTGTGTACGCTATACGAGTTTATTTTATTTTTTTGATTTCCCCCCCACTTCCCCCCTATGGGGGTTTTCCCGATTTTCCATTCGTATAATCGCCTATATCTCGGAGACTAGACTAGACTAGACCTAGGGACACCAAATGTGAGTTCAAGATGCCTTATATGAATACGCAGAAAATGTGTATTTTGGAATTTCCCTCCCTCCCCCCTCTCCCCCGCAAATCGTAACTCCCGTAATTCTTGGCATTTCGAACTCAAACTTGGCAAATACCATTTAGTTATTATAAGTCCAAATGCGAAGTTGAATCATGATAGGCCGATTAAACAGGAAGTTATAGCCATATGTGTATATAAGACCAAGTAGTGCCCGCAGCTGTTGTTGTTGTTACTGCTTTGCTCAGGCACACACAAATACACACATACACGCATAATTATTCTACACATATGTATGTACAGAGTATTTCAAAGTCGGGATACCCGACTTTAGCTTCTCTACTTGTTTTTAATAAAAACTTACTCCTCGACTGTTCTTAATTCTTTTATTTTCCTAAATCTCTGGAGAGTGCGCGTAAGGTTGCGTATTTTAAAAAGTATTGTTCATAAATGGCCGGCAGGATTTGGCTTGCAAATATGGCTTAAGAGACTCATTCACATGACTTTATTTATTCAATAAAAATGGTTAAATTTCATGTATGTCGACACTTGCAACTTTTTACAAGGAAACGAATAGTTTGCTTCCAAAAATATGGGCCGAGTGCGAAATGAAAAGCTACTAGTTAAATAATTAACCAAATTTAGTTTAATCAATTTGTTGAACAGTGTAGAAATGGTGCCCGACCCAGATCAAGCATGACAATATCAAGAATTATTAGAATCTGTATAAATAAACTTGTCTTTTATATTTCACATAATTTTCATTTTCTATTTTATTTGCTTCCTACAAGTATTTTCTGTTCAACTAACTTATAGATATTGGGCAGTGGGAGTTGGTTATTATATCTCTTATACTTCCTAAAATCGAAGCTTTATATAGACTAGTCGGCTAGTCTTGTCATGCTAATCAAGAACACAGTATAATTTGTGGTCCACCTTCTTCTCCTTTTAACACTAATCTACGGTTGGTATTCCAAAAACAGGTGAGCAAAAATTATAAAGTCGATTTTCAGATGATTGTGAAAACATATGTATAACTTGGCCAGATTCTAAAATATGTTTCGATGGACAGTGATGGAAAAAATAATAGAAACGCCAAAATTTTCATCGTTTATTCCAATTTTCTAAATTAAAAAAATTAAAAATTTTTCTTTCAGAGTGTAATTATTATTGTTAAATATTTATCAGTTTATAGTAAGTGTTTAAATTAAAAAAACTGTGAAATGATATCCCTGACCCCTTCTAACCTTATACCACTATTAAGAGGAAAATTGTGCAAGAATTGGTATTTTGAGCTTTCCCTTCACTAAAAAATAAAAAAAAATAGAAAATATTAAAATAATTAATTAATAATATTAATAATTAATTAATATTAAAATATTACCTAAATAATTAATTAGTTTAGAGGGCGCTTTACAATGCATTATTTTTCCAAAAAGTGTATGCGTTTCTATTTTTTTTTTTTGCCGAAATAATAATAATATTTTTGCCGAAATAGGTGTTAAAACGAAATCAAAATGAAGTACCTTTAACCAATTATCGTGCATAGTGGAAGAAACCCTTACAACTTGTCCAGAAAAGGAATTAAGGAATGAAGGTTTTAGTGAAGGTCGTTTCTTTTATTTTTGCCATCACTGTATATAAGAATCAAAAGTATTATTGTTTTTACACAAAAAAGTCCACTTACAATTACAAATTGTAAATGAGTATGAATTTATTTACAATTTGTCTGCTCAAGCCTAATAATTTATTAATTAATTAAATATGTAGACTACTTCTTTTCATAGTTGCAGCTAGTTATAGTATTTTTTTAAATGCTAATATTTTTGTCGCTTGTCTACTTATGTTTCTAGTGGATGCTAAGCCTAAGGTAGTCGTCAGAAATCTGTCTTTTTATCAGGATGATGGGAACTAATCTTCCCTGACTCTGGCTGAATGATAATTATCAAAGGAAACAAATCTGAAAGCTAACTTTAGTTAAATTTTGACATAGTCGCCACTTCAGGGATGGCTACTTTATTGATGAGACTTTTAAGCGCTTCTATTCTTCAGAGAATTGTCTAGCTGGCTCTTTGAGTTAGTTACTCAATTATTGCTGCTCCTTAGGGGATGCCACTTTATTATATTTTGTTTAATTTTTAATTAGCTGCTTTTCTCTCTTTTCTTTCGAGCTGTTTTTTATGTTATCCTTTGTCCAAGGCAGCTACAAGGCGGCTAATTACCTTTTTGCCTTTTCCTTTGAGTGTTTGCCTCCCAAAGTTCATGTGGTTTTGACGGCTTTAGCAACCGTTTTTAATGTTATATCATATGATATTAGAGGGGGAGGAGGGAGGGAAGTGTCGTCTGCCATGCGGCTTATAATTGACTCGAGCGTTGTTTTTTTTTTTTTGATTTTTTTTTGTGCAACACTGACAGGAGTTGTCGAGACTTCAAAATGTCACACTAGCACATATAATTGTAAATACATGCCCTCGGGAAAACGGCTCAAAAAATATAAATAAATACGTATACATACATATCTACATACATAGCATATTCTTGTACATATGTACTTACATATGTGCATACATATGCAGATGCGTCTGTCAATGTATTTATTTTTACCAATTTTTGATTTTATTTTGAATGTGTTGCCATTTTGTTTGATTAAATTGGAATTTCTGAATATATGCGTGACAGACAGATCGCGCACCGAACTAGACAGACCTGCTGATTGGCTGGGCAGGAAGGGGAGGGGCGGGGAGGGGAGGGGGGTGGAGTGATGGCAGAAATCAGGCGCTTGACTTATGCGCCAAATGAATGTGTCAAACGAAATTGAGTCGCGAATCGCGTTGACGCAAAAGCAGCACAATTGGCAGTAAAAACAGGCCACAGATTACAAATGTATTTTTGAAAAATTCTAAATTTAGAAGCCTACAAAAATAGCGAATATTCCCATTTAAAATCGAGCTCAACGATGCTTGAAAATGGCTTTAGACGCTTAACTTCTTACTACTTTAAATGTAGTTTTGAATCTGGAGGGCAACCGAAAGCTTACAAATTTGTACAAGACTTAAACGTCAGTCCACAGGTAACATGTGAATAGACACATCGAAATATGCCATAATACTTATATTGGAAAAAATGTGTATCTGAAGATTGAAACTCGCTTCATCGACAGATTAAGATATCTAAAAAGAATAAGTGAACTTTGGCATTGCCCTGAAGATAAAAGGTGTCAATAAAATTAAGTCAGATGCATTTAGCAAAACCAAACATTTTATCGAGCAGTTACAGGCCTCAATTTTTTTTTAATTTAAGCATTGAATCCATTAAGTCAGGCTAAGCACCTTAACAATGAATGTTTACAAATATAGAAACGGCGTAACCTCGAGCTCTTCCGAGCGAGAATTAATAAGTAAGTGGTGGCTTATGCTTACCTAATTGTTTTGAAAAACCCTACGAGAGTCTACAACGAATTTATATTACAATTTAGAAAATATCATTACTAAGTAGAGAATTTGTGAAGTAAGAGTTAAATTTTAGATCTTAACATTTCAATAGGAAATACAAACTGTATCAATACGGCAATCATTCGAGCATTTGCTCATAAAACCATAACGGAACTATATATTTGTAAAATCCGTATAACTTAAAGAACATCTACGAACGCCACGCACAGAACACTTGATTTCAGTTATGCGAGTACTATTAATTATAGATATTAAGAAAATTCATAAATAAAGCTCAAAAGGGCTTGTCACAACGTCTTAGCTAATGAATTGTTGTGTAGAAGGGTGGTTTTTAAAAAAATAAACGGAGGTCCGTGTTTGTTCGCATTCGCGTGGGACCCATGAGCACTTACTGGCAGGGGAATCTCCAAAAAAAAAACTTCCTGTGGCGCTTTATCCTCAATCGAGCATATCATGGAATCCTACCCAGAATTGGCGAATAATAGAGCCATTTAAAAAAAAATAATAAATAACAAGCCATCAAACCTTAAAAAGAAACTTCTGATACTAACATAAAAACTGTATATAAATATCTTCAATCTTGTAATTCAATTGATAAAATCTAGGATATACACGAATTTTTTGTACATAGAATTACCAAGAGTCGTAGGCCTCAGTAGCTAGTACTCTTATTCCTCAAGTATATTAATGTATAACATATTTAACTTAAATAAAAAATAAACGATTAGGCAAAAATTGTTTAGAGAAAAGCATGAGCGGAGATGAAATGCATGGGAATGAAACAATTTGGAGTTGTAATTTTCTAATTTCAATTTTCAATTTCAAACCAAATCGCGCGATTTCGTTATGTATTATAAATAATGAACTATCCTTTAGGGTAACACAAATATCAATAGGACTTATAAGTCTTCGATCCGCTTTTAACAATCGCAAAATAATGTCTTGTGTAACAAATTTTGGTCAAAAAAAAAAATGATGTGATTGGAAAATGCAGGTAGCATAATAATGCTGACTTACCGTTATGCCGTTCTCCAATTGATCTACTAATTATGCATTTGCTGTTTCGACGAATTTTCCGAGCTGTTTTAGCGCTGCAACCTAAGGAATGAGAATACCAATGAAAGAAATTAACTGACGCAAGCAAACAATCAAAAATCAAAAGCCGCTGCGACCCAAGCACTAATGCAAATCGACTTCATATATACATTCCTACACACATATGCAGATATGCGTTCATCATACAAACAGATAAACAAATGCACGTGTGTGTAGAAATGTGTGTCTCTGCATAGGACTTAAGGAGCCAGCAACAACGGCAAACAACGGCAAGCAACGGCGAGCAACGTGCTCGCATTGAGGACTCTGCACAAGTTCGCATGAGTTTGTTTGCGCCACACAATTGCAAATGAAGATAGTAAGGCAAACAAATATCGGGCAAGCAAAATCTGAACAATTAACAAAATGGCAAATGTGAAATGACAGCAACACAAAAGACAACGGCAACGCGCGAAGCCGCCATTTGCAGAAAATTGCCCGCAAGCTGAAAGTTTTCCGTACACACACACAGTACAACACGGCCAGGCACTCCAAAAAAAAGAACAACAAAAAAAGAGAAAAAAACACAACTCAAAACATTCGACTCCTTACGACAACGGTGGCACGTTTTTACGAAACGAACGCGTACGCACTTTGACTGGAGAACGTGCAATTTGCTGAAGAAAACTGAAGGACCGCTTTTTCGCGTGCTGCCAAAGCCAACGCGACGACGAAGAAGAGCAGACTAACTGTAAAATTTTACGAACTTTCGTGCGTGAGCGGTTATTCGGCGCCAGTGTTGGCTAGTGTTGGAAAAACGTGAGCGGCGCTCACTGTGAATGGACACGAAAATAGCAAGCGTGACAGAATGCTTGTTGTTGTGCAATTCCAATGCAATTGTTGTTATTGTTTTGCATACTGAACCAATTGTTGGACATCGAATAGGCATGGAACTATAACTAATAATAAAGTTCTTGAGCTCAACTGCTCCTCACGCGCTCATCCTTAACGCGCACACATAATCAAAACATTGCAGACGTTAAATCCAAAACGCAGACATTTATTTGTGTTGGCTTAGAGATAATGCGCCACCATGTTCCGAAACGTTGTGGTTGGCATCTCTGGGGGCGTAGATAGCGCCGTCAGCGCCCATCTGCTGAAGGAGCGCGGCTTCAACGTCCTCGGCGTCTTTATGCGCAATTGGGATGAGCATGATGAGGCCGGACGCTGCAGCGGCGAACAGGACCTTAAGGATGCCGAATGGGCTTGTCGGCAGCTGGACATCGAGCTGCGCCAAGTGAATTATGTGAAACAATACTGGACGGCGGTCTTCAGTCAATTTCTCGAAGACTACCAGCACGGCTTGACACCCAATCCGGACGTATTGTGCAACAAGCACATCAAATTCGACCTCTTCCACAAGCATGCGTTGCAGACGCTGCAATACGATGCCGTGGCCACGGGCCACTATGCGTGCAACAGCCTGGGCAACTATTTGGAGCACGCCGACAAACAGACGCAGGCCGAAGAGGCCCGTCTGCTCATACCTGCAGACAAGTTGAAGGATCAGACCTTCTTTCTGGCCGGCATTCCAAAGGCATCGCTACAACGAACCATGTTCCCACTCGGCCATCTGCACAAGCCAGAAGTGAAGCAGCTGGCGCGGCACATTGGACTGCACCGTCTAGCACAAAAGCGCGAGAGCACCGGCATCTGTTTTGTGGGCAAGCGCGACTTTAAGGCATTTATACGCGAGGTGACTCGGCGCCAATGCGTTCATATTTATTTTAGCTATAACTTCGCACTCTCTTGCAGTACATCAGCTCGAGGACCGGCGATTTCGTGGACATTGACAGCGGCGCCGTGGTGGGCAAGCACGAGGGCATTCACCAATGGACAGTGGGCCAGCGCTGCCGACTCAATTCCTATCTGCAACCCTACTATGTGGCGCGCAAAGAGGCCGCCAGCAATGTGATCTTTGTGGCCGCTGGACACCACCATCCCGCCCTACACAGCCGGCACATGCACACCGCCGACATCAACTGGCTGTGCTCCCAAGCGCATCGGGAGTTGCTCGAGGCGGGCAGCTTGCGCTGTCGCTTCCGCTTCCAGCACACCAAGCCGCTGGTGGAATGTACAATATGGCCCTCCGACAACGCATTCGACCACTTTGAAGTGTTTCTGGAGGAGCCGCTACGGGCCATCACGCCGGGCCAATATGCGGTATTTTACGACGACGTTGCCTGCCTTGGCACGGCGCGGATCCTAAGCGCCGAGCCGCTGGAACAGACCGTGGAAGTGAATCAACAGCAACCGCAGCAGAAGAGGCTGGAGCGGTAGCAATAAATGCTAAATAGTGGAAAGATAAGAAAGCCCAGCCAAAGATCGGATGTACTCTATACTCTCATGCATCTCATAAGGGATGCATATTTTACTGAACTTTATTATTTTATTCCATCTTACATATATCGGCCCTTTCTCTGAATCATTTCAAAAGGCGTTATTGAAATTTTATGTTGCTGCCCCACTAGCGCTCAAGCATTTGCATGTAAATATGTATAAACAGTAAAGAAATAAGCATTTTAAATGCACATTTCATAAATACACAATTTATGGCCCATCACAAAAATTGTTGATTTTATAGCATTCGCATTCTTCATAATTGTTGTGTATTTATTAATACCAAGTAGTGCATAATTGAATTGCTGCCCGTCTATTTGAAGAGCTCTGATTCACGCTCCCGACCCCAGTCACCCAGATAAAATAGTTTTTATCACTCTTTGGGGGAACATTTCAAATCTTCATACGATCTTGACAATTTCTAGAAGCCAGCACTGGAGTCGGATTTCATTCGAAATGCTTTCTCTTTAAGCTACAGATATCGCTTTCTTTGCCTCAATCAACATGGAAACAACTCTCTTGAAAGATGTTTTCAAATGCGATTTAAGCTATTTCAAGCAATTTTTAAAATTGGCAGAAAGAAAGCCAAAGGGATATAGTGGATTGTTTACATTTGTGCCACTCATATGAAGCCACCCCCTTCAGGGACCTTCATAAGAGCTAGACTCGCTAGGCTTGGCTGAGAAAAATTAAAGTGGGAATCATTATTCTAGTTGCCAGCAAATCAAAACCGCATTCATTTAGTTCGTGAATTGAAACAGGGTTTTAAAATTCTAGTCCAATTATTTTCGCAAAAAGCCAAGTTGTTTAAAAGTGACAAATTGTTTTCATTTCACGCACAGTTTACTTATAGTTAAGATATATGTATATATTAAAGGTCCTTTTACAATTTTGTTTTTCATAATCAAGAATGCATAAAGTATAAATGTTTGGTTAACTAAATATAAGTGCAAAAAAATTGTCGTTTATAAGTTATGTAGAACATCGCGAAAGTCCGTATATAATTTACTTAAAAACTTAGGGCTATAATTGAGGGGATTAGACTAGATCCCATCATTAGGTAAGGAGCACGGTCAACGCATCTAAAAATCTAGTTAGGTCGCTCTGGCGCAGCTGCACAACAGAGGGCTCGAAGAAGTCCTGAAGCAGAGTCGTCTTGCTCTTCAGAGCCGCCTGCTCAAAAGCTTTGCCGAAAAAGTTCTTGGGCGAGTCCTCCCGCACCGGCGCAATGCCCACCAACAGGCACATGCCCTGCGTGGCGTCCAGCGGGCAGGTGGCGATGAGTGGCAGGTCGGGTGCCTGGCGAGCCCGCGTCGTCGCCACATGGCCATGCAGCACAAACTTGGCCAGAAGCGCCAGCGCATATGGATATGAGAAGAAGACATGCTCCTCCTGCAGCACATAGTAGAAGAAGGAGCCGGTCGAGTGCACCTGATGCGCCTCCAGGCTGCTCTGCACCTGTCGAAAGATGGCCGCATGCAGCAGCTTGGCATTGTCGATGCCCGCTACCAGCAGGTCCTTGTGCTGGCGCGACAGCGCATCCGACGCTTCCAAAAAGCAGTCCTCCGGCTTCTTGTGCTTCTTCACGGACTCCAATATGGCCAGCAACGCATAGACATAATCGGCGGCCGCATACCGACTCCGATAGCCGTAGCTCAGCGCGAAGGTGCCGTAGACAATGTCCGGAATGCCGTACTTCTCGGCCAGCTGTTCCACCATTGAATAAAACTCCTTGCGCAACACCAGATCCATTGCACTGTACGTTTGGCGAGCGTGCACCAGAGGCAGGCCCATCTCCACGAGCAGCTCGTGCAGACGCTTCTCGCCACGCAGGGTCCACAGCTTCAACTTGCAGGCGGCATAGCGGGAGTAGCTGCAGGAAGATGGAAAACCAGGCTGATTATACGTCGAAAGAAAAACAGCACTTAAAGGTAAATAGTTGCTTAAATATTTAAATATTTAATCAGACCAATATCTTGCTGGATATAAACAATTTTATTTGCAATCCCCCATTTCTGGGGCTGCTAATAATCAGGATGGAAATGATTAAAAGAAATTAAATTTTCATAGAATGTTTTCATGTTTACAAGTATTTATAGTTGATCATAGTTCTTGCTCCCTTAAAGGGTTAGGGGGTTTTTCTAATGACTCTATATATCCTAGAAGAAACACATTTTATTTGTTTCTATCAAGTACAGCCTTCGGGATAGCATGCTTCCGTATTTACGAATCTGTAGTTGGTCATGAAAGATAAAACCTTTTTAAAATTAAAAGAAATTAAATTATGACATTCATGTTGGGGAGATGACTATTTAACCGTTTTAAAGTAACTCTTTCCCTTTTTTATTCTTTGCTATTTCCTTTTAAAAACATTGCTGTTCCCATTAAAAAATATTCAGAAGGTCAGCAGCATTTTCACAAACTGTAGCCAAATAGGTATGCAAGTTTATTGGGAAGTTTATGGGCAAGAATCAACAAAATATGTCCTCATGATTATGATTATGGTAATCATTATTCTGTATTTCGACAAGTATGTCCTGTTAGTGTTTATTTGCCGTCATGCCCAGTTTCATCGTGCTAGGCCAACTCGAGAGCAAGTTTTTATCTTTTTCCATGATCTAGCAAGAGCTGCTGATGAGGTATAATAATAATACCAAAATATTAGAAAGGCCACAAGTTATTCAGATTATTTATTCTATAAAATAGATCAGCGCTAATTACTGTTGGGATCAGAGAGTTTCTTCAAAGTGCAACTCCAGAACTTTTATTTATTTTACTGTCCAAGGCAGGCAAATTAAATAATAATATTTAAATTCTCTGGGACTGGGAATTCTAAAATTGGGAAAAGGGAGTGGAATACTAAATCCTAGCTATCATATATGTATCTTTATATTTTTAGAAGGCCTAAAATTTTGAAAAAACAATATTTATTTCAGTAAAATACTATTCTTCCTTTTATATGCTTTTTAGGGCAGATTAGAGAATAGTCTCTGCATTGTCGCATTTTAAATACTCGATAACTCCTAATTATCTTGTGTAAAAGTATAAAAATGAACTTCTAGATTTATTACTGGGATCTTGTAAAGTTTTCTATCATACATACGAGTATATCGAAAGGCTATACAAGTTAAAATTGTTCCCCTTAGTGTGAAAATTTAAAATGAATAGCAATAGCAACAACCTTCTAAAGAAAATCAAAGAGATCCTTCAATAAAACACAATCACTCGACAATATCTTTATTAGAAAGATCTGCCTATTTTTTGGAGTTTTTTTTTAAATTTTTAATTAGTTCAAAACACATTCCTGAAGAAATTCAAACCTAGTTAGTATCGTCCAATTATACAGATACGACAAGAAGATAGGAGGAGATAAGGATAGTTGAGGAAAGCAGGGGACGAGAACCAAAGACGTTGCTGGCCGATCTTGGCACATTTTGTAAAGGGTTAGCTTCACGCTGACTGGGAAGGATTTCCAATGCAGCTTCCGGAACCGTCTCAGTGCCAACTTACCGCATAGACTCGGTGACCGTCCAGTGCCGGTAGAGCACCAAATGTAAGTCGTTCTCAAAACTGATCTTGGTGGCGCTCATCGTGTGCTGGTCGTTGGTCTTGTTTGTGAGACGCGACACATGCGACTGTATGTGCTCCAGCTCGAGCGTGTAGGCGGCACTCTCGATCTTGCCGAGCAACAGCTGCTCGCTTATGCCTACAATGGCCCACCAGAGCAGGTCCATGTTGTCCTTAGATAGCTTCCAGGCGAGCTCGAAGATGAGCAGCGCCGTTGATCGGCCGTAGTAGCTGAATTGTGTGTAATCGAACATGATGCGATCGCGCTCTAGCTCCCATTGGCGGCGGGCTCGTTGTCGGAGCACGCGCTGCTCATGCCGCTCCATCCGACTCAGTTTGGGTCGGCGTGGAGGGCCCGACTCGCTGCTGCCGCCATCCGAGTCCTCGCCGGCGCCACTGTCGTGCTGTGCCTCGTCGTCCTCGCCATCATCGTCATCGTTGTCACCATCACCATCACCCTCGTCGTCCGAGTCGTAGAAAATAGTCTCGAAGGCCGGTATGTTCTCCTCCAAAGCTGGATCGCCCAGTATGCACACCTGGCGGTCGCTGTAGATGTTGCAAACGTCCAGAGGCCGGTGTGCGTCGCATATGAAGAAGGTGACATCGTCCGTTGGCTGCAGGAGCTCCACAATGTCGACACAGCCTCCGCAGTTAACCAACAGCACGTACTTTACATCGCCCTGGTGCTCGCTGTAGGCCCGCCTCAGTCCCGTTATCCCCATAATCGGCACCACCGTGTAGATCATGTGGTCGTATTTGAATAGAGCCTGGAGGATCTTGCTCGCGCATATCGCATCGATGTCATAATTGACTATTATTAGTATGCGCTTTCCGATTAAATGTCTGTAGAAGTCATTCTTGAGGTCCTGTATGAACATTTTACGACGACACCGACACACATACACGCACACGCAGCCCAAAATCAAAGTGAAAGAATTGCCGACACAGACACAAACACGGCAAAAAATATAAAACACACATAAGAACAAAATGGAGCTCGCGCTTTCGTTGCCGCCTTTTACTTAACTTTTGTATTACTGGATTTTGTTTTTGTAATTCCAAATCCACTACCGATAATGCATTTTGAGAGACTATTATTTCCTCAGATTCTCCGCTAGCTTGCACTTTCTTTTTGCACTGCTCTTTGCGTTCGCACGGCCACAGCTGCGTGTGTGTATTTTGTTTAAAAACGCGGGAAACCCAGATCAGCTGTTACGCGTCTGGGGCGGCTCGCAGTGAATAGCAAACGGCATTAACCCACCAACGGTAACCAAAACAGTGGTAAGCAAACCAACTATATTAACAAAATGTTCATAACTTAAATTAGCATAGCTGGCCGTTTGACAAATAATATTCCCCCACCGTGTCGGATTCGTTATTAGATATTTAGATACATTTTTATAGGCCTTTTTTATTTATTTAGCTTAAGTTCTCTATTGTATTGATTTTTGTATGTATATATATTTTTTTATTTTCTTTTTTATTTAAAACGACTGCATTGCTTGCCGTTGAAATAAATAAATAAATAAAAAATTTAAAAAATTGATTCTACACATCGCAGTCATTAAATAAAAAACATCAATCATAATTAGAAGGGTATTTATCCAATCGCTTTCTTTGCTTATAAGCATATATCTCGTTTTTCCCTCTTTATAGGGTAATTTTAATTTTCCTTTGTTGAAACGCTTTTACTATTGCTTATAAGGTGCACGAAATAATTATTTAATTATATTGTTCACAAAATGCAATTCTTCGTTTTCTCTCTTCCTCCTATATTTCGGTTGTAGTATGCTTGAGCTGTAAGCAAAGAATTTTGCAAAAGTACTGCAAGGTTTTCCCGTTATGTTTATTTGTAGAAGACAACGTTGACTTTTGTGAACGAAATAATTTACTAGCAGAATACTAACTATAAGAATAATTAAAAGTAAGTGAATTTTAACAAAAATAATTATTTGTAGCAATTCTTAATTGATTCTTACAGTAATTTGCAGTTTTAAAGAAGAAAAAGAAAAAACTAAAAATACGCTACTTTTGCGAATACAATTTGCTAAGCTATTTCCGCACTTCTAAGGCAAAAATGTTTCAAAACTGTTTATTTATTAATATTTTTAATGTTTAAGCTATTAAAAGTGTGTCATAATTATTCTCTCTGTACTTTCTCCTCTCTGAGATCCAATTGCAAATGTCAGTTCTGTGAGAGTGATGAATTTATTTGTTTGAATTAAATGCACTTAGCTAATTTCGCTATAATTGAATCTGCAGTGAATTGTGAAAATAAAAAATAAAATATATCCATTTTAAAAATTTAAAAATTTGTATTACGCTCCCACCATGTCGGTCGAACAACGTTTTGGGTATCAAAACAAGCACAGTGTTTACATAGGCATTAAACTGCGCGCTCGTAAGTGTCCATTCAAATCTAAAGTGTGCTTGTCAGTGTTGAACAACATCGGCAAAAATCGTCAGAATTAAAAACCGCCTTTTGCCATGTGTTTGTGTGAAACAGAAATTGTTTACGATGGCAAAAAATAAACGTAAAGTATTTGGACAGCGCCATGTGTGTTCGCGCATGAACTTCCTATACCAGGCGGCGAATTTGATGGCCCAGAACAACAACAACACACTGGCCGCCTATTATGGGAAATTGTGCCGCAATGTGGGCACCAAAGCGGTGATGCATATGTGAGTTTTTCCACTCCCAGTACTTCCCACAGCATTTGTGTATTCTAATTTCAATCGTTTTGTGCAGAGCTCCGGCAGTGAAGCGCACACTCTGCAAACGTTGTTCCCTGCCGCTGCTGCCGGGCGTTAACACAGCGCTGGTTGTGGAGCAGGAGCACGAAGTGCCATCGACTGCCAAAGCTGGAGGGAAGCGACGCAATCGTCGTCGTCGTCGTCGTCGGCGTGGCAAGCCAGCCAAGGGCCAGGCCAATGCAGAGGCGTCTGGCAGCAGGAGTGGCTCTGAGCAGAAGTCGACGACCATAGACGACAACGCCACGTTGCAGCTGCAGTGCGGCCTTTGCCAAAAGCAGCGTCGCTTCTGTGTCGATGCGGAAAAAGAATGCTGGCTGGAGCGTCCGGAGGCATTGGCTCAAGTGATAACAATGAACGCTAGACAAGGGGTAGCTGCTCTGCACAGGGATAGTTACAGTTGCGATAAGCCAACAGCCGATCATTGACTTATCGCCGATTCGTAGTTGTAAAGCACACAAATGGTCGCACTTGAACTTGATAAGCGCCGCAGCCTCTCCCGCCCCCACCGCTGTCCGCACCACCGACACAATGCGAAGGTGGCCTTTAACTCAGTTCCCACCGCCATGCTGAGCTGTCGACATCTGATTGGACGGCTGCTGAGCGCACAATGTCGTCAGGCAACCACCACCACCAGTGCCAAGCTGCTCGATCAGCAGTTCGTAGAAATCGAGCAGCCTGATGGCCAGCGTCTGAAGTATCCGAATGTCTGGCTGCGCGATAATTGCCAATGCGAAAAATGCTTCCATGCGCCGACACGGGCGCGCCAATCCCATTGGGAGCGTGGCCCGTTAAATGTGCAGGCGAAGAGTGTCGCCTACGAGGAGCAGCAGCAACAGCTAGTCGTCCACTGGCAAGATGCGCACAAGTCCAGCTACGACTTGCAATGGTTGCGCGAGCGCGATTTCGGAGCCGAAACGCGCTCGCGCTACCTCAAAGAGGTGTACAAGCCACCGGCCCAGTTATGGGGCAAGCTACAGTTCGAGCAGGTCACGCGCGAGTTCCTCTACGAGGACGTGATGGCCAACGATGAGGTGCTGCTCGCCTGGCTGGAGGCGTTGGCTGTGCAGGGCTTTGCTCTGTTGCGCCAGGCGCCCGCTGATGTGGAGGTGGTTCGACGGCTGGCCGAGCGCATTGGCTACATCAAGCGTACTACCTATGGGTGAGCCCACACCAACGAATCAAATGATTCACATGGCCCAGGCTAATTGTCCCTCTTGCCCGCAGCGACGTCTTCGAGGTGAAGTCGAAACCCAATGCCGGCAACTATGCCTACCTGATGACTCCGCTGCCCATGCACACGGATATGCCGTATTATGAGTACAAGGCGGGAATTAACATTTTGCACACGCTCGTCCAGAGTTCGTCGCCCGGTGGTGCCAACACACTGACCGATGGCTTCTATATAGCCGCGAAGTTGCGCGACCAGTATCCGAAGTACTATGAGCTGCTGAGCTCCGTACCCGTCAACTGGTATGACATTGGTCGCGACGGCGACATGACGTTCCATAGCCTATGGCGAGCCCCAATCATCTGTCTGGACGTTGATGGGCAGTTTGCGCGCATCAATCAAAACACCACGAAGCGCGACAGTCGCTTCACGGTGCCATTGGAACAGGTCGTGCCCTGGTACGAGGCATATGACAAGTTTTTGCAGCTAATTCAAGACGAAGCCGTCGAATTCAAAACGCAGTCGGGCGACATCTTTGTGTTCAACAATCTGCGCATGCTGCACGGTCGGACGGCCTATGAGGACTCGCCACAGAACAAGCGCCACCTGGTGGGAGCCTACGTGGATTGGGACATTATCTACTCAAAGCTGCGTACGCTGAAATTTGGGCAAGTGAAAGGTTAGGCTGGCATTATTGGCTGTGAGATGGATTTGTATGTTTATTATACATATGTACATGTAGCTGCCGACACTGGTGTTCGCTTATTATAATTGTATTTTCAATAAGTCAGTGATTTTCGTTTATAATTGTATTTCATTAAAAACGGCTCAGTCCTAATGATAGATAACTTTCACATAGAATTGCGTATTTTCAAAACCGTTATCGACGATAGCGATAACGATTTTGAGCGGTCAAATGCGCAGGGGTGGTGACACCGTGGACCAGTGTCTGCACACAAAATTCCCTTGGCCGATACATATCGATAGAAACGCATGCACATATATGTGCTCGATCGTCGGAAAACATTGCAGAATTATTACTTCCTGAAATATTGTTAGCGTACAATAATGCCAAGTATCATTGAAATTAGAAGTTAAAACTCCCGATTGTGTGTATGTGTGCGAAATGCTCCCGTATAATATCCGTGCTGGCGACAGCAGCGCCATGGCTCGTGAGTACGCTGGCGGCAGCGTCAGTGGCATTTTGCGCAAAACTGGAACGGCAGCCGCAGGAGGTGGAGGCCTAGGCGGAGGCGTTGCTGCAAATGTGGTGGCGTCGTCAACAACGTCAGCCACTATGGCCGGTAGCACGGCCTATGGCGCTGCCGCCACAGCCTTGGATGCTCGACAGCCACCGGTGGAGCTGCTTGTTTTCGGCTATGCCTGTAAAATATTCCGGGATGATGAGAAGGCGCGCGAATTGGATCACGGCAAGCATCTAATACCCTGGATGGGGGATGTAAATCTCAAGATAGACAGGTTAATAATTGTTGCCAGCCATGGCTAACCCCCCTAATTACTATTTATATACGATATATGTATGTACCCATGCGTAATTTCTTTGATTGCATATACTACAATACAATTCTTCTGCATTTAGTACCATACACAAGAACAATGCGTCCAAAAGTAGGCAACAAGGATGCTCAGGCACATCTGCGTATATATATGTATGTACATGTGCCTTCACATTCGCTATACGTCCATGCATAGTATGTGTGTGTGCGTGTATGTATTGTAGTTTTGCCTGCGTAGGCTTGTGCTGACGTTTTCCCTTAAAGGCGGGCACCATCAAAACTCAATCATCAGAATAACCAACCAACCAACCAACCGAACGAGACCCAATCTTAATTGCCTTTCTACAGATTTGCATACGTTCCATGCACGAGTATATGCAAAAAAAAATAATAAAATAAAAAATAATGACAAGCTGGACAGTTAAAAAGTGAAAGTACTCTTCAGTCCCCTCAGACTTGGACGCTTGACCATCCCTTAAAGAGATTGTTGAATATATTCTTAGACTCAGCCACATGCTATGTCCTCAAACCTGTGCCGTACATCGTTCTCATGTAATAACAGCTCTTTTCAGTGCTTCTTAAACTTTAATATTTAAATTAATTTAAATTGTAATGACATTTAATGAATGAATTAACTTTTTAGCAACAGGAGCGGTATGTATCAAATAATAAGACTTTTGATTTATATTTTAACAACAACTATATATATACATATATGTATATATATTTATATACATATGTATTAAACGATATTTAATTACTACCTGCTACATATTTATTTGTGTGAACAAACAAATTTCAACAACAACAACAACAACAAACAATTCCTTTCGGTTTCTCTGACAAAATTATATGTTTATAATTTTTGCTGCTTTAGCACAAGTTCCCAAAGCAAAGACTCGACTAATACGTTGCATGCATCTGTTTATATTTCTCTGCTCCTCTCTCTTTGGCACACAACACAAACCGTCCATACACACACACACACACACGCATCGTATCCCACGACATTTTCAAACACACACACACTCGCACCCACGCACACACAAATAGGTACGATGTGCGCGGCGCACTCTGCGATCTGTCATCGTTCGAGGCGCCTCCGGGCGGCTATGGCAACCGTCTCGAGTACCTCACCGCCGAGGAGCAACGTGCCGAGCAGCTGTGCGAGGAGGAGCGTTATCTGTTCCTGTACAAAAATGAAGAGGAGCACAAGCTGCAGCAAGGTAAGTGGCGTCGATGGCGGGCACTCTCTCTCTATCCAAATGCAAATTGTATCTAATTCTAAGTGAACAAACCAAAAAGAGCAAACAAAAACAAAACCAAAAAAAGAAAAAAGAAAAAACCAAAAAATTTAACATTTAAAATATCAAAACAAGTCCCGCACAAATGAAGGAGAGCGTAAATATTTACCGTTAAACAATTATCGAACGAAAGCGAATCGAAACGTCTGTAATGCTGGGAAGCATCCAAAAGCATCCATTCTCCAGGACGGCGTCATCGGCAAGAAGGCGAGTCCCTGTGCCACTAACCACTAACCGGCACAATGCGGGCCAGGTAAATAGAAACCCTTTCGTTTTAATGCAATGAAATGCTCTCTTGCAGATCATCCTCCTTCAGCATCGGCCTCTTCACAAAAACTACAACAGCAGCAGCAGAGAATTCTAATTAATGATTATGAAAATCCAATACAAATGCAAACCAAAAAACAAGTTAATACCAGACTTAAAAAAAAAAAAAACAAACTCAAACTAAGTTAATGCTAAATCTTCTACTCGTACTAATTCTTCACACCCGCCACGCGCCTGTCTTGCTGTTTTACTAAAATACACGTGTCTTGTATTTTTTATTTTTGCGACCCCTCGTCACCCGCAGAGGAAGATCTTAAACGCCTGCAGCAAGAAACCTCTGGCGGCAATTACAGCCAGGTGGGCTTTCAGTACGATGGCCAGTCTCAGGCGGCGCCTGTGCCAACAAGCGCCACCGTCGCCCCCAGTTCGCCGACCTCTGAGGAAAACGAGCAGCCCTACATATTGCCAGCTACTCTGCTAGAGATCCCGCCACCCGGCATGCTTGTGGTAAGCTCTAAACTATTCCAATCTCTGACAAGAGACAAAGCGAACTTCCTAATCTGATACTATATACACGTATTGTTCTTAAAATCCGTTTAAGATAAAAAAAAAGTAAACATCAAAATTGTTTGTGATAACGGAAATAAGTTATTTCTAAATTTTTCCCCCGTGAAGCGTGCAACAATTTTCTAGTAATCCTAAATGCCAAAAACAGGCGTCACGAACCCTATTTTATAGAATTATATCTGCCTGATCGTCTGCCTGTATGAACCTCCATAACTTTTCAACCATAATAGTTAGGAACACCAAACTTGGTATGAAGGCTTGTCTTGTTTTTTTAAAATTCTAATTCTATTCATTTAGGTGAAGGGTACTGGTAATTTTACAGTGCAAGTGGCTAGAGCAGAAGCGAATTTTTTAATACTTTTGTGGTTCATTGGATTGGAGTACGCCTAGATTATAAAATGAATTATAATTGTGAAACCAAACAGCTACCAATTATGGACCCTTTGTTCTCTTACAGCCTGAGACCATGAAGCAGCACGCAATAATTGAAAAAACCGCGCGCTTCATTGCCATGCAAGGGGCACAAATGGAGATACTAATCAAGGCCAAGCAGTCGAACAATCCGCAATTTGACTTCCTGACGCAGGGCGGACTACTGCAGCCCTATTATCGCCATCTGCTGGCGGCCATTAAGCAGGGGAAGTATGCACCGGCGCCGGAACCAGCAGCTGAGACACCCGGAGAGACAACAAATCCGCCCAGTCCTAAGCGACTTAATGTGATTACCGTGCCCACCATCAAGTACAAGCCATCGGCCAACTGCGCCTACACGCAGCTCATCAGCAAGATCAAGGGAGTGCCTCTGCAGGCCGTGCTGGATGACGAGGGCAGTGCCAGCAACTCGCAGCACTCGGCCGGCACAGCTTCGCCCACGCCCAGCTGCAAGTCCAGCCAGAGCAGTGAGTTCATGCCCGTCCTCTTGCAGTACAATGGCAGCACATTTGCGCATGCGCCGCTGGAGGAGCCCGACGAGGACAATGCCAATGATGCGCCACCCAAAGTGGAGTTGCTCAAGAGTACCAGCGCCTTGGCGCTAGCCCAAGACTACAGTTCCGAGAGCGAAGCTGACGAGCAGGAGCAGCAGCAGCAACAACAACAACAGCAGCAGCCGCCACCGAAGAAAAAGCTGAACTTAGCGGAGGCGCCGCTGCACGAAACGAAGCCACCGGCCTTGCTGACATTTCCACTGCCCGAAGAGAACCTGCGACACATCATTGACAAGACGGCTACCTATGTGATTAAGAATGGTCGCCAGTTTGAGGAGACGCTGCGCACCAAAAGTGTGGAACGGTTCAACTTTCTGCTGCCCAGCAACGAGTACTATCCCTATTACATGTTCAAAATAACCGGCGATGTGGACGCTGCCTCCAAGGAGGAGAAAACGCGCAAAGCGGCGGCTGTGGCGGCCGCCCTCATGAGCAAAAAGGGTCTAACATTTGGTGGCGCTGCAGCGGCTGCTGCTGCCGAAAAGGGTAAGCCTAATCCTTCCTCAAGCTTCTGATCAGATGGCATGAAACTGAATAGTTTGTGAAGCGTAATCGCAATCGAAATGGGCGAATGGGAATGGGGGGATTATAAAACAGAGGGGATTAATTAGTCTGGAAATTAGGGCTCTTACATGATAACCACTACTGCCTCATTTGGGAAGAATGTTATAATTGTGCAGCAACTCTTTCAGCGCCCGTTTCATTTTCCATACGCGCCCGCGACGAGCAAGCACCGCTGCAGTCCACGCTGCCGCAGGAGGCCAGCGATGATGAGGAGGATGGCAAGGCGGGGGCAGCGACATCAGCTTCTGGCAACGAGTCTAGTCGTCCCGGCATGCCCGACAGCGTCCAGCGTGCCATAAAGCAGGTGGAGACACAACTGTTGGCGCGCAGCGGCGGTGGGCAGAAGCCGATGGTCACCACATTGCCAGCAACGATGGGCACGGCGTCGCCCACAGCGCCACACAAGGATCAGCGGCAGGGTGTGTATCGGCAAATGAAACTAATGATATACAGTCAAGCTTAACTAATAGATCTAATCACTAACATTGTGATTAAGTCCGCACAACTGCCACTCAAAAAAATCATCTGCCATTGATTGTAGCAAGACTCTTCTAGAAATCCAATAGTTAGTGCAACAACAAATTGGCTATTACTATTACTTAGACTATTTAAGAAAAGACTGCAACTTTAATGAAGAAAATAAATTAGAGATGTGTAGATGTAATGGGACGTAGGGGAACTATCAAGCTCTTTGAATTGTTTTTATGCAAAGGCTTACCGACAAAAGTTATTTCGTATCCAAAAAAAAAGCCATGAATTAAGTTTTAATTTAATTTTAAATGTGTTCCAAAAAAGACCAGCTTATGTTGGGTTCGCTTCAACGCCAGTTTTAACTCCAAATATATTAAGGATCTAATCTTGATAGCATCCGTTAGTGTACGATTTCCCACTAAGAATAATTACTATACTTTGCAATGAGAATGTCCTTCCAGAAATCCCATAATGTGAGTTCCTAGACACTCGCTTCAAAGCCAGTTTTAACTCCAAATATATTAAGGATATATTATTGATAGCATGAAATAGTATTGTACTTCCCACTAGGAATAATTACTATAATTTGCAGTTGTCTTTCCAGAAATCCCATAATGCGATTTCCTAGACACTCGGTTCGAATCACGCCGCAATGGAAAGACAAAAGCATGATTGAAAAAAATGAAAATTTAATAATTTTCCAGCCTAGGACATTACTTAAATAAGGATTAAAGATTTACAAAAATGTGTACCAGCTTAGTGTGGGCTCGCTTTAAAGCTAATTTTAACTCCAAATATATTATGAATAGATAGATAGTACTTTCCACTAAGAATAATTACTATAATATGCGATGAAAGTGTCCTTTCAGAAGAAATTTTAGGCCATTTCCTTGCCCTAATTTCTATGGATTTTAGCACTAGCAAACGTCTGATTCAATTTGAAGTCGCTCTTCAGCGGTCTTAGGGCGACTAAAAACTAGATCATCCCTAATCGCTTAGCTTGCCAGTAACATATATGAACAAATTCAAAGATAATAATGACTAACGTATAACCTTTCGCATTCTCTCTTACAGCCGAGGAGCGCTTCAAGGACAAGTTGGCGCAAATAGCCCGCGAGAAACTGAATGGGCTGATCACGCGTGAAAAACAACTGCAGCTGGAGCGGAAACGCAAGGCGATGGCGTTTCTCAATCAGATCAAGGGTAGGCGGCATTCATATTTATTCCAATAATTGCTCAGATTCAACCATTGTCTGATTTCCTATGCAGGTGAAGCTGCTGGGTCCTCGAGCGTTAGCGAGACAGCCGCTACAAAAGATGGATTAGTGGAGGGCGGCGAGGGTGAGGACTCCAACGACTCTGTGCGTTCCATACCCATTACATATTTTGGGCCCGACGAAGACGAGGACGAACAAGAGGACAATGTTGCCAAAGAGGGGACCAAGACTGCAGCCGACGATGACGATGAGGAGGGTGGTGGCGATCTTGAAAAATATAATTTGCTGAATGACGACAGTACAAATACGTTTACAAGCAAGGCCCCGCCCGCTCTACCATCCGTGCTGCTGTCCGACGACGACGATGTGCAGCTGGTGGCGGCAGGCACAGCGCCGACAACCGCAGCTCGCAGCAGAGTCCGCAGCCGAAGTAGCAGGCACAGATCGAGCTCACGATCCACACTGCTTGATGCGAGCGAATCGTCTTCAGGCAGCGATAGCGGCGGGAGCAGCGAGAGTGGCAGCCCCGGTCGTAGTCACAGCAGAGGCAAGAGCAGGTCGCGTTCCTATCGACAACGACGCAAGCGAAAAGCTGGCGATGATTTGTCCATGCCGACCCCTACAAAGACGCATGATCGCAAGCATCGACGTCGTGGATATCGAAGCACTACACGTAGTCCTGCGCAGCAGCGTCGCCACAAACAGCGTAGCCGTAGCCGGAGTCGGAGTCATAGTGAACGCAGTCGCAGCCGATCCGTTGTGGTGAGCAGTGACGAGGAGCCTCGGTATCATCATCGCCACCATCATTATGCCCATCATGACCATCACGATCACCATCGCGAGGAGCGACAACGTTCGCGCCATGCGTCTCGGAAGAGTCACAAACGTCATAAAAGGCGCCGGCGCAGCAGCGACGGCTCCCACTGATAACTATGATTTGTATTAATCAAAGTAACAAACAAGGACTAAGCTTCAAGTGTAAAAAACTGTGTAATAAATGAAATCTTTAATTATAATAATGCAGTACAAGGACAAATGATAACGGCTTCCAAGTGCAGGCCATATAGTCGTCGACATCAGTAGATTATCAATCCCGCAGTTGGGCTGCCCACGAAGCTATCCTCACATTAAACAATGCTGTCGCCCACCACGGCACAGTACGGTTCCTCGAAGAAGTCCTTCGCCCACATCATGCAACCGTAGATATTGGACAGATCTTGTCTCTTCCCTAGCCAAGTTTGCTGAATTTATTTCAACACAGAAAAGGACAAGTCAGGTGCAGCTTCACATACGCAGTTCGAGATATTTTTAATTAGTGAAATTTCTTCAAAGAATTTTACAAAGCACCGGCTTTTAAAATGGTCATTTAAATTGGCAGCGGCGCGCGCGCATCTCCTGATAGCTATCGCTTTGCGATAACAGCAATCGTGGGAGCCGTACAAAAGCTGACGACTATGCCACAGCTGTTAAAAGTACTACCCATTGCCATGCGAAATTATTCACGTCACATTCATACGTACATACTCACATAGTGGGAGCACATTGCTAAAAAAAAAAAAAACAATAGACACAGATTATTTAAGTTTTTAAAAGTCGCAGTATTTTGTTTAACTCCCATCTACAAATGGCATCCGATGATCAACCGCTTGGTGAACTGGAAGCCCGTCTGGGCGAAATCACGCTCGAGGATGTGAACAGCCGGCATCGGCGAGAGCGCAAGGAACTGCAGGCTAAGCTGCAGGCGCTCAAGAAAAATGCCCCGAAGAACGACAAGAAGAAGCGGAAGGAGTTTCTGGAGCAGATGGCCCAACTGGAGGGTGAAATGGAACAGCGTCACAAACTCGAGCTGCAGGCAGCGGAAAAGGCGGCTGCCATGGCAGCAACTATCAAAGCATCAGAACCCCAGGAGGCGGTAGATCAACAAAAGTCGCCCGAATCAGCACAGAACCAGGAGGATGAGCACGACCACGAACAGGAGCACGAGCAGCAACCCATGCAGCAGCGTGTGTCGAAGGCGCAGAAGCGTCGCGACAAAAAGGAGCGCGAGGCTCGCAAACGAGAGGAAGAAATACGCGAGGAGCTGGAGCATGCGGAGAAACAGCCATCGGCCAAGCTGATTGAATTGCAGCAGATCAACGAGAAGCTAGCTAGTCGCCAAGTCATGATACATCGCATCCCATCTGACGGCGACTGTCTCTATAATGCGGTACGCCATCAGCTGACCATCCACGGCCTGCCCAGTCCCAGTGTGTCGGAGCTGCGACTGGAGACGGCCAACTATGTGCGCGCCCACAAAGACACCCTTATCTGTTATATGACGCACCAGGACACTGGAGACCTGCTCAACGATGCCCAGTTCGAGGAATACTGCCAGGCCATAACCAATACGCATGCCTGGGGCGGCCACATTGAGCTGAAGGCGCTCTCCTCGATGCTCCGTGTGCCCATCGAGGTTCTCCAGGCGGAGGGTGCGCCAACTAAGCTGGGCGAGGAATTCGGCGGCGCACCGCTCGTCATATGCTATCATCGCCACATGTATCAGCTGGGCGAGCATTACAATTCGACACTGCCGCTGGGTGGCTAGAAAGGAACTGGACCCGCCCAGAACTGCCAGACTGCCAAATTTTAAATGCGGGTCCTGTCTTCCTTTTCCGCACTATTCCGATCTATCAGACCTACCAAAAGAAGAAGTCTTCATTAAATTCTAGTATAAGATGGACAATGCTCCGCTGTGGACGCGTTTCAAATTCAACGAGAATTAGACGATTGGTGTAAGTTTTTCTCACCCCTCCAGTCCCGAATCCAACCCACCAGTTCACTAAAACCAGAATCCTCAAATATAACAATGTAGTTGAACTCGATCTTTTATTATCAACTTGATCAGAAGGCGATCAGATCAGATCAGATTCGTTCGTTTTTATTTTGTGAAATGTAAATATCTGGAAGATTTGAATTATTGTCAAAATTGCAAATAGTAGCACAATATATATATTAGTTGTTATTATATTAATTGTAATAAAATTTATAGCTAGCGGGCGCCAACTGGGCGGGGCACTCTGGTACTGCTCGCTGAAGAACTGAAAAAGCGCGTTTTCTCTAGAAAAAAATGCCTCTTCTCAATCCTCGAAATAAAGCGATCTCAGTGTTGATTTTTTTTCTATAATTTTGTTCTGCTTGTTTCCCTTCCTTAGTCGTTCTTCTTACTGACTGGCTTCTTGGCGGCCGGCTTTTTGGCAGGCGTGTTCGGATAGATGGCGAACAACGACAGTTGAATGCCGCCCAAAATCAGAAGGAATAAGTTCTGGAACTGTTTTCAAAATTAAATCAATTTGTAGACTTGTGTTCGCTCTTTCTGCGCTAAGCCACTTACCACGACCACAGTGTTGCGTATGGACAGGCCGTAGATCATCCAGGATGCTGCGACAAGGTTACCCGACAAAATAATCGGGAATGGCATGCCTTCGGTACTCTTCGCCTCAATGATCTTGCCCAGATGCAGCAGCGGAGAGCCAACGAGCCACACGAGAATGCCAGTAATTAGCATTCCCAAACGGAATTCCACCTTTTTGGGATCCTCGTAGTTCGAGTACGCTATGCAGGCCATCAGGAAGAGCGAGACGTAACCGATCTTGGCCCAAATTTTAGTCTTATTCTCGTTCGAGGCGTAGTAATAGAAACCGACCATGAAGACAACATTGATGGCGAATCCAATGATATTCACTTTGATCATCGCCTGATCTCCCATCAGCTGGCCGACCTTTAAGCTCAGCACGGTGCTGTGAAGAAAAGAGGAAGGAAATCATTTCGATTTGGAAATATGCAGATAAGTTTTTAGTGTTATTAAGTCGGGCATGTGAAAAAAACAGATCTATGAACAATTTCCGTAAAGACTATGCCTAGCGCTTTAGGTCCAGCTACTGAAATGTTCTCATATAATATCCTTATTCGAATTGAAAGGTCCATTAAGAAGTAAATAGTATTAAAAGTAAAAGGAGAAGAAGTCAAACAGATCTAATTAGACTGTGAAAAAACCAGATCTATGAACAATTTCCGTAAAGATTGTGCCTGGGGCTTCAGGTCCAGCTGCAGAAATGTTTTCATATAATCTCCTTTTTAGAATTGAAAGGTCCATTAAGAAGTAAATAGTATTAAAAGTAAAAGGAGAAGTCAAACAGATCTAATTAGAATGTCCCATTCAAGTCTCTGGCAGTTGCGACCCAACTGGAGCTCCATGTTCATCATTTAATTTTTGAAAATTTATGTATTTAGATCTTTATTAATAGAAAGAAATTTTAGAGTCATTGATAATAATAATCAAGGCTTTTTCCGTTTCCCAAATATGCTAATTGGATTAATCTCTCTTAATCTTATAGGATTCCAATTTTCTAATTTTTATGAATATAAGGCCTTTTTATATAGAATATATAAAGGGATATATTCTATTAATAGCATTACACATGAAAGATATTCATGGCAAAATCATATTTTTAAGTATTAAGTAAGCCTCCAGAGAACTGGCTCATCCAAGTCCTGTCCAATTTACTTCTGAGACGCACTTATTTCCCATAAGCAAGAACTTTCAATAGACTAGCAATATCTTCAATTCAGTGATAAAAACAATTGAATTTGAAGCACAAAATACGGAGAAAAAACAAAGCCAAGTCGAATATCAGAATCTAAGACTCTTTATAGTTGGGAGACTGCGTTTTATAGACGAAGAAGTTACTTCAAAGTCTCGAAAATAGTTGCATATTTTGAGAGTGTTACAAAAACAAGCTTAAAGCGAGCTTAAACGAGCCAAAAAGTTATTATAATCTACATACACGTATTATTTACTCTGTTTTACAAGAAATAATCTTGCTTCATGAACAATCTATAGATATACCCTACTGTTTTCGTACTTATCTTATCTCAGTTTATGAAGCATTTCTAGTTAGTATTTTGCATGTGGCTGAAACATGACGAGCATTCGCGAGACATGCTTGACCATTAGATATGAATTTAACGTTGGAAGTGAACTAGTTTTTGAGTGGATTGGAATTCGCCTCGCCATGCTGATCATATATAGTATACATATATGTTCTGCCAATCTTGCAAAAACATGAAAAAAATCAAGGAAAAGCCGAACGAAGCTTCTCACCTAAACGATAAGGCTGAAAAGTTGAATTGAATCATGAATAGTGGTTCTCTAATACTTTGCTAGAGTTGCGACACCATCCCCTTAGAATATGGATTGTGTGACGTGTCGAAACATTATCGACAACAACAACAACAACTCTTATCATAGAGCCGCAAAACACCAAGTCATTGAATGTTATTTGCTGTTACCAAAAAAAAAATTGCGAAATAAATTCCTAGTGTGAAATGGTTTGTGGTCGCCTCCATAAATCACATACCACACACGTATTGCTCGGGACTTGCTCCCTTTTAGCCAATTAGCAATTGGCCAACAGGTCAAATGGTGGCATAACACGCAACTTGGGGCAACAACGATGCCGCAACAGGCATCACAGCTGTTGCCACTTGCCCACAAACGCCGACTCTCGCATGTCAGACAGTCTTTAGAACCGCTCTTGGCCATGGCGCCAATCGAGCTTCGCCACATTACATTTATTTCAATTAATGCCAAGTAATTTGCATAAAACAACAAACCAGCCAACCAACTTGCATGCCAAGCAGCCGCAGAGGCAGCTGCAGGTGGGGCCGGGCCACAGGTGCAGCCATAATGGGATTGTCTACGAGTGGACAGAGAATAATAATTCTAACTGCCGATGCTCGCATGCTCTAGCAAGGCGCTTTAATTTTTTCATTCATCCAAGTAGCTCTTAAATCGCGTATAATTCCCTCTGTCTGATTGTGGCTATCACATTTATTCAGATTGCTAGATTTTACACTTCCTGGAAAATCGTAGAAACGTAGACTTTTTGGTTCTCTATTTCATTTAGTCAGCATTGGTTTACCAAATGGCATCTTTTGGAATTTAAAAGGTCCGACTACCTCTTAAGTTCTCATGTGGAAAAACAAGATCGTCGAAATTCAAAAACAATTACAAACCGTTTATAAATATTTAAAATGTAGGGCATATTTCTGAAAACTTCCCCGCTTAAACAAAGTTTAGTTGCGGAACAGCTGAAGATCTCTGAAACCTGAAAAGTTCCTTAACTTCGAATTCGAGCAGATTTATTCTAAACAAAATGGTTTTTAATCTTTTTAATCTGAAACCTGAAAAGTTCCTTAACTTCGAATTCGAGCAGATTTATTCTAAACAAAATGGTTGGCCAAATTTCAACTTTTTTGTATGGCACTAGAGAGAAAACTAAAGAATTGAAAGCATGAAGCAATGAAGAACAGTCCAGCAGTAAATATTCTTAGCAATCTTTTCAATCTAGCGCCCAGTGTGGTGTCACAGACCCATTAACTTTGATTAACTGACCTCGAGCATGACATCTGGACAAACTCTCTGGGAAAGTTAAGATACTTTTTTTGTACGTTCCCAAGACACACACCCTGTTGATCGCTCATTCAAGGGCTGTAAATTTAGCCGCTCCCTACGAGCACGCCCGTCCATCCGTCCGTCTGTCCGTCTGTCCGTCCGTAGATAATAGTGTACGTGTTGGCTGCCGAAGCCTGATAGTGATAAGCGAGCGCCGCTAGACCGCGCGAAATCGACAATCAAATGAGTAGCCGAGATAGAACCTAAGAATATTTCAACTATTCTGATGACGGGGGGTATGGGGAGGGCACTGAGATACATAGATGCATATAGACAGCCGCATTTTTAGCCGGCGACGCGTTGCTTTATCTTTTTTAAACGTTTTGGCTAGAAGTGTGCTTTTTATGTAACTGACACCCCATCAGCAATTGTCGATAAAGGGCGGGGGGAGGGGATTGATTGAATGATTGCCATCGAGAGTCAGTCACAAAATGCAGCAAATTATTGTGTGGATATTGTGGGTGAGGGAGGGGGCGTCTAACGTTTGGCAATGTCATGGCGACTATTCAAAATTTAATCAATTTCGCACGACTATGTGTGTGTGCGTGTGTGTGTTTTTGTGGAAATGTGCAGTGAAGCGGAAAGTGAATTAAATTTTAATGCAGCATTACTTACAGTACAATACCGCCCAGGAATGGACCCACTGGATATATGTCGCTGCTTCCCTTCTTTCTGATGTCATTCATCAAGACGACGCCGGATAAGAATTGCAGGCACGTTATGGTGCCGGCAACCTTGGCAATCGTATCGCTGTAGGGTGCCAATATATCGCCTAGCGCCTCCATATTCTCCACTCGGATGTGTGTATGTGTGAGGTTGGTTTGTTTTTGTTTTGAACTCCGGCGCAAGCTCAAAACTTGTTTTAAATATGTATCGCGGGGGTGGTGGGGTGTGCGGGAGTTTAATTTTAAATGGTTCTTAGTGTGTTCTCACTGGCGCACTGTTGATCACTGCATTTAGATGTGGACTAGAAATCAAATCAACAGCTACTATATTATAACAACAAAAGCAATAAAACTGCTGGGCAACAACAACAACAATAAACGAAAACAAAAAACTTAACGACCACCAACGGACGAGAATCGGCGGTACAAACGGCTGACGTAACAACAACTGACTGGCCAGCAGCGCCAGTGCTGCCCATCATTTATACGATTGCCACAGCTGGCATGTCGTTGCCGATTTATCGCGATAACGATGAAGGGGAAATGCGAAAGGCTTATCGAGAGAAGCATTTGAACGTATTTCGTTACTTTTATTCAATATTACATACAATAATTATTAATCTAATTATCTTAACGATTAAAAGGGCCTGAAAAAATATAAGATAGTGAACAGTATTTAAACTTCTTGGCGCAGCACGTGCTTCTTCTTTTCGGGCACGAACGGCACTTTTCCGGGCTTGGAGTGCTTGCGCACATTCGCCTCCTTGATCTGTTCCTTTTCCTTGACCACGCGCATCTTGCGCTGGGCATTGAGCACTTGACGCGGCACCTGTCGATGACGGGCAATGCGTTTAATTTGCGGATGTGCTGCATATTTCTCCTTCAGCGCATCCTGGTAGTTAAAGTTGGCCCGTTCGCGTGGTCGCACCGCGCCTAATTTCTCGGACGCATTGGCCTTCCACATGCGCACGTTCATTTCGTCGGAGCCGGAGAAGATGTAGCGACTATCCAGTGACCAGGCAATGCAGACCACATGCTGCATTCGTTTCGTGTGATAAATATCACGAGAATGACTCAAATGGGTATTGTAAATGCGAACAGTCTTATCGTAGCTGGCCGTCACGAACTCCTTGCCCGTGGGCGAGTAGTCTACGTCGGTGACCGCAGCCACATGATCGAAGTGGACCTTGATCGGATCCCGTAGCTTACGTGTATCGAAGGTGTAGAGACTGAAGAAGGAAATCAGACAAATGATAAGGAATTTGGAAGAGCGATTTCGTTGCCTTTCACTTACTTGCAATCCTCGTTAGCCACCGTAAAGTTGAAGGCCGCCATAGGATTCCACGCGAGCTTGTTGCTCTTCATGGTAAGCACCACTTTCCGGAGTGGTTGCGCTTCACGCTGATCATAGAGAATAATGCTGCGATCGCTGCCACAGCAGGCCAGAACACTGGTCTCCACCGGATTGAAGGCGACGCAATGCAGCGTGTCCACACCCCATTTCAATGTCTTTAGCGGGTCGTTGTGCTGCTCATCCCAAATGGCACAGACTTCGCCGCTGGTGGCGAACGTATTATCCTTGCGATTGTGCGAAATGCCAGTGAGAATGTATCGACTCAATATGGTGTTCACCGGCTCTTCCTCCTGGCCAACCTCGGGCGGCTGCGATTTCCACACCTTGATTGTCTTATCATCACCAACGCTGAAGAAACGATGGCCTTGCCGAGCATACACAATTCCACGCACAAAACCATCGTGCGCCACAAAGCTGCGAATGCTTGTGCGATTTGCCAAATCCCAGATGCGCACTTCTCCATCGTAGGCACCGGTGGCCAGCGTTGACAAGGATTTCGGATGCTTGCCAAAGCAGGCAACGCCATCACGATGTCCGCTCAAATTACAGACAAAGGGCTTAGCAAACACACGATCCAGCTTGGTGGCATTCAAGGCACGAACATATTCTCGTGGACCCTCGAGCGGATGCAGAGCCGGATCATAATTTCGCGGCACTAAAAGATTGCAAGAACATTACAAACGATTGCAAAAAGACAGTACGATGCGGCACACTTACTTCTGTGCTGTTGCAGTTTTGTCTCCCGGACATATTTGTCCGGGTTGCGACTTATCATTTTCACTTTCATTTTGGCATAGACTTTTAAATTAGCTGTTTATTTAAAAGGCTTCGGAATATAAACAACACGTGAAGTCGCAAGTGCTACCACACCCTTTCTATTGTTCAGCTGTGAGTGAACACTAGTGCTGACCGTTAATTGGCATCACTGGCAACGTCGTTATTTTTTGATTCCCACAAAAGCAAAGAACTCATGCTTCTCTTTATTTATTCTTTAGTTTTTTTTTTCTAAATATATAATATCAAAATATGTGGTTATGCTTGCTAATATTTGTAGATACCGAAAACAGTGCAACAAGCTATGAAGGTCGAACACAAATGCTGAATGGAGACAGAATCATCAGACAGCTCATCCCAAACGGCGCTAGATCCATAGCAGCAGCCGGCACCAGTTTGCTGGAAAATCATGACAGTGACAACATGCTTATAGCGGGGTTTCGCACAAAAGCCTCTCATGCGTAGATTGATTTCATCGACAATGTCACGGGCCCACTTTGCAGCCTCAGTTATGTTGTACGCTTTGCCTGTAAGTGGAAAAAGCTCCGAAATATTGGCTATCACTTCCCCATACCCACATACGCTTACCATTGAGCTTGTCGTAGAACACGCGTTCCATCATGTAGCGTATATAAGGTACAGGGAATTTCTGCCGAAATGCCGGTCCCATTTCATAGGAATTATAAATGGTCACATTGGTCACAGGATCGATTTCGTCATGAGGACGAGACGACAGAGATGAGAATTTCACGAGTATCGGATCGAGGGTGTATACCGATTCGGTCTTTGGACCGATTTCGGTGGATTTCTTTGCCGATATTGTAGATCCGTCCTTGGTGACCTTGCCATGGCGGGAACCTTTCTTTTTCTTGCCTTTGCGACTTTTCTTCTCCTTGCCACTGTCGTCAGTCTTTTCACCAGTATCCTTGTTAGCTTTGTCTACTTTGCTGGTCTTCTCCTTTTCTTTCTTTTTTGTGGCCTTATCTGCCTTGCCTTCTTTAATTGTGACCTCTTTGTCGGCTTTGTTAGCCTCGGCCTTATCGCCTTTGTCTGATTTTCCGGTTTTGCTGGCCGCAGCCGAAGTTGAAACTTTGGAAGACATTTTTTGTATTGAGCACTACTCGGATTGAAAATATAATAAAAATGTGAGAATGAAAGTTAAAATTTTTTTGAGTTAACTGGCAGCGTTGCCACTGGTGGAGAATGCTGTTAACGGACAAGTGCTGCCTACAACTTGCCCTGCAAGTGCTGCCAGGCGAAAAAGGCTTTAAAGTGCTGCCAAGCATTGCAAAGTGGGCTTCCTTGCCACCGAAGGACAACACAATTAGACGACAGACACATACAATTTTGCAATTTTCGGTCGCTCTGATATCGGACTTGCATTGTCGTGCAGGAAGCGTTTCCAAAATGATTTGGTGGCGCCTAACCATATAAATTAGCGCGCTGCGCCCGCTGCAGTGCTACAGACCGCATCACAGACCACAAAATGAACAATTTGGTGAGTTGATTTGATTTGACGATGGGCGTTGATGGATGGTGGGTGGGCGAGCGTCAATGTGCTTGTGTATGTGTGCGTGCTTGCGTATGTGTTTGTGTGTGTGTGTGTCTGTGTGTGTGTGCTGTAAATTTCATGCGTTTTTCCACTCTTTCTGTCGCAGGACCACGTCAAACACTTCTATCCCGACAACTACAAATTAGACTTATCGGAAACCATGAAAGCTGCTCTCTCCAAGGGTCCCAATGCTGCTGGCGTTTCAGTCGGCGGCGGCGGCAGCAGCGGTGGTGGTGGTGTTGCAGCCGCCATGGGCGCGCCCCATACGGACATGCTGCCACAACCCAATGCCGGACTCCCAGGAGTGGGTTATGTGACCGAAAAGCTCTACATGCTGCTGCAGCTATATTTGCAGAACAAAGGCTGGAATCCTAGTGCCGAGCTGTTGCAATGCTTCACCGATCTAAAGGACAATGCCATGTTGCCAAGTGCCGCCTATTTGCAGTAAGAGAGTCGTCCAAAATGTGCACAAGATTATCACAAAAGAAAAGAAAAAAAAAAAAAAAAATCAACTGACCAATCTTTGCATACATTTAAACAATTTCAATTCTTTACCTTGCAGAGTACTGGCCAATCGTCTCACACTCGACTCCCAAGGACGTTTAATCCTTCGCGAGAATGGCAAGATTGTGCTGCCGTTCGAGCACTTCGCTAATGCTGTCATGCTGAAGCATATGTCTGGGCCGCATGGCCTCCACTTAAGCGTAGATGCGACCGTGCGCGCAGTAATCGAATCCTACACTATTGGACGCGACCAGTTTGGCATGGAGAAGGAGTTCATCATTGAGGTGGTGCAGAGCTGTCCGAGTCCCGCCTGCCGCTATTATAAAAACCATATGGGAATCTCGCCGCTTCCATTTATCGATCAGCAATTTCCGGGCGTCTCTACGCCCGACTTCTTGCAGCGCCTCTCGCACCTGCCACCGCATGGTGGTGCTGCCTCTAGCGGTGCTGGTGGCGGTGCTGGTGCGGGTGGTGCTCCCGGCACCCCGGCTGCCGCTGCAGCAGCTGCCAGTGCAGCTGTCGGTGGAGCTGGCGGCCCAACAGTGGCCAGCGCTGGCGTCGAAATCGATCTATCTAAGACGGCAGCGGCAGCAGTGGCGGCGGCGGCCGCCGCAAAGGTGCCCTCGCAGCTGCAGCACCTAACCAAGCAGCAGCAGAACAGTCTGCAGTCGCAGCTGTCGCAGATAAGCGCCGCAGCTGCCCATCATCAGCAGCAGCTGCAGCAGCAACAACAACAGCAGCAGCAACAACAGCAGCAGCAACAGCAGCAACAACAACAGCAAGCGGCCCAGGCGGCCAAGCACCAACAGCAGCTGACGGCGGCGCTTATCCAGCAGCAGAATCGCGTGCTTGCCCAACAAAGTCTCGAGAAATTGAGCAATCTCAGTCCGCTGGAGAAGCAGCGCGTCTTTGCCCAACTCGATCCCAAGCACTTTGATCCGATGGCGGTGGCTGCAGCGGCGGCCAACCTGCAGATTCAAGGGCTGATGCAATCGCAGGCGGTGGCAGCAGCGGTCGCTGCCAATCAACAGCAGCAGCAGCAGCAACAACAACAACAACAGCAGCAACAACAACAACAACAGCAGCAACAACAGCAGCAACAGCAGCAGCAGCAGCCCACAAACTCGTCTTCCGCTGGGAGCAGCAACAGCAGCATCAGCATCCATGGCCATCACTCGCTGCCGCCTCCTTCCCAGTCGCCGCACTCATCCTCGTCGTCTTCCTCGCATTCCTCGCTGGATCAGCTCTCCCACAAAACTGTGGACTCACTTCGGTGAGCTTGCCGTCTCTCGCTCTCTGTCTCTCTCTCTCCCTCCCACACACACCCCTTACCCACCAAGTACGGTTCATGATCTCTCTCCCTCTCGCTCTCTCTTTTTTCTGTGCTTTCTGCTCAGCTCGAATCTGGACTCCATTGAATCGAACAAGGATCTGTTGGCCCTGCATAATGGGGCGTGGGGCGCAGCTGCCGCTGCGGCCAATCATGATGCCAATCGCATGGACTTAATGCCCGTCGGCCAGGACAAGATTGTGCGCATCTTTGCCGAACTGATGCGCAATATGGCCCGCATGAAGACCTACATAAGACCCTCCATGTGCAAGCCCTATGGCAAGCAGAGCGAGAGTCTCCAGAAGAGTGAGTGGCGGGGAATATTGGAGTAATGCCCTCAAAATAATCGCAAATGCGAAGAGTCGAGCTTAGATTGTTGTCCTGTCTGTCTGTTCTCTGCCTTGGCCCTGATGCATAAGCAGGATTAAATATATTCTACGTGTGAGAGTAAGGATGTTGGAATGGGTCTTCTCTATTCTAGTAGGGATCTAAGAACTCTCCACCGAACTCGAATATGTATCTATCAGCTCTAGTTAGTCTTTTAATTTGTTTGCATTGAAAACTAGTCCCATATCTATAGTGTTGTTAAAAATACTCCAACCTTCCTATAGAATACCATTCTAGCATTAATAGATCTATCTTTTTATATCCTTTGTGGCTCCCAACCAGCTCCATATTCATATTATCTTTTAGAGCTTGATAGTTTCATAATCGCTTTCCAAACAATTCGTAGAATTGCCAAATTAAACATTTCTTTTGGGAACAATGTCATAACCCCTTACCATATGTATTCAACATTCACATCTGGAATATCCCTCTACAGCGCTTATGGACACCATACAGATTGTGCAAACGTTGCGAAACTGCTTGCCGGCGCCTCATATACCCGTCACCTCCTGGAAGAGTGAAAGCGAAGGCAGCGTTGGCGTTGGCGTTGGAGTGGGCGTCAATGTCGGTGTGGGCGTGCCGGTACCCCCAGGTCTGGGCCTTGGCGCGGCACTCGGCCTACAGCCGACCCGAGTGGACAACATGCATTAGGCAACGAAATTGAAAATTGGAACCACATTTGTTGGTAAGGTTGGAATGATAATCAAAAGAAAAAGCAAAAGCAAAGAAAAGAAGAAGAGAGACCGGAATAGGACAACCGTAACATCGAGCATTTTACCTTAACGGAATCCCACACATTCACTTAAAAACGCACACAAACAAACAAAACTCTTCCAGATCTAGAGATTAGCAGCAGTTAGAGGAACCACCACATGATGGGCATGATGGAGAAGAAATGGGATTGCAAGGATTGCCTTTAAAAAAAAAAAAAAACAAACGAATATCAGAAATATTTTCGAACTTCCAGTCATTTCCTTGCCATCTAAATTTTTCTATTGTTTGCGCAATCTTCGTGCATGATGAAGAAATAAGATAACAAAGAAATGACAAGTAAATTACAAAAAAACGTACAAACGAATTGAAAATGATATTCCGGAAAAAAGTTTCGAACTTCCAGTCATTTCCTTGCCATCTAAATCTTTCTATTGTTTGCGCAATCTTCGTGCATGATGAAGAAATGAGGTTGCATGGAAATGCTGCGCCAGTTTCAAAAAAAAAAAATGGTATTCCAGAACTATTTTTGGTCCTCAACTCATTTCCTTGCCATCTATTAATTCTATTGTTTGCGCAATTCTCATGCCATAGCATAGTTTATACACGTCTGGTCATAATTGCAGCTGCACCTTAACATCAATTCTATCTAGAAATAACAGAGAATGGTCTCTAGTAAGATCTAATCCAGTAATTGCTTAACTGAATCGGTCATCGATTTACTAAGCCTCCTTAAACTGAAAATGCAACTAAAGCAATAGTTCCCTGGAACCGTAGCGCCTATAGTTGTTAAGGTGTAGCTGCCTAGGGCGGAGGAGTGTATCCATAAATATATATACATATATATATTTAGGTATATAGTATAGTATAGCAATTCACATTCATATAGCAATCCTACGCTCAAGTTTTCGAGTTAGCCCTGCTTACATATATTTATATATAAATATTGTTTTTTTCAATTTTTTTTTTTGGGAATTACGTGCCATTTTTCAACACAAGACTCGATTCGTTTTCCATGTTCGACTGATATTTAGATTTATGCGCTCAAGTCCTGCTAGAGAGACTATGTGTATTAGAAGGGGGGCATCGGTGGGGTCCCATCTAGGAGTGCGCTGTACGGGTGAGGGAGCAGGATTTCGGATATAGAATGTGTATGTGTAGATCGAACCTTGTACAGAGCATCGATTGAAATACGGCCAGGGCCGATTTTAAAATACCTAAAGCCATCTATCTCTCCGTTCTCTCACTTTATTTTATTTCAAGTTTTATTTTTATTTTATTTTTTAAATCTGGTTTATTCTCCCCAGTCTTTCTCTTTCATCGTCGCGAATAATTTGGTTTAATTTTCGTTATTTTTTGCGTAAAACAAAATTTATGGAAGAGGAAACAAATTCTCGAAAAGCAAAAAAGAAGCAAACGAAACAAAAACGAGTATTAATTAAATAAATTGGCAAAATGTCTGTGATATTTAAATTTATGTTTAAAGTAACGAAAAAGAAAAATGAGAAAAGCAAGAGGAAATTTTTTAAGTTTTCTTACGTTCCTTCGTTCGTTGTGTACGTGTACTTCCAGTTTTTTACTTTGTGCAATATTTATTAGGCGTCTCTATAACTGATTTTTGTGCAATTGATTTCGGCGAGTAGAAGAGATAAAAGCAAAAACAAAAAAAAAAACATAAACAACAACAACTTCACATTCATATCAAGAAGGTAGAAAGGAAGGAAGTAGGGAAGTGGGGAAGGTAGGAAGTAAAGAAGCGGAAAAGTAAAAGTATTAAGAGTAAAAAGCGCATAGCATTAAATAAACTAAAATATACATACATACATATAGCATATACGACATACACAAATACATACACACACACACACACACACATACACACACATTGTGTTGGAGCCGTGGAGCAGGTGTGGCAGGTGTGGTGTGCGTTCTGCAAATGGAGTTGTATTAGTTCTTAAGGATCAGCTGATGGGTTGTATTACGGCTACACACACACACACACACACACACACACACACACACACACACATGGCCTAAACACTCTCTATCACCCACACATATGCATGCATACTTAATAGGTACGTCTAACTAACAGTATTAGAAACGGTATTGTGTAATGGCGCGACTCGCACTGATAAGTAATTGCGTGCAAAAAAGATCATACATTAGATAAAGTTGATAAAAATATAAAAGAAACAGGCAAAATCAAATATACACAGCCACTCACACACACATATACACATACACAACAAACACACATGCACAAATATACATTAATATCGCTTAAAGTTTAACTTTTTGATCTAATAAAAATAAACATTTTATTCTAAGCAAACTGCATTGGGCATTCTTTTATTCAAATTCAAACTCGATTACCACCACAGTTTTTGTGCTGTGAGTGTGGTGAAGAAGGTGAATTGAATGGCGCTGCCAGCTCGCTGAAATGCAGACCTGCGTTTGGTATTTCATAAGCCGCACAGAGTGTGGTCACACTGGTAGCACCAGCAGCAGCAGGGCAGACAGACGGACTGGCGATTGTATGAGTGCGCGTATGTTGAGTTAGTTAATTAATCATTTTTTCCGCAAACACCTATTGTTGTTGTGTTGTGAACGTGTTTAAAAAAAGCTTTTAATTCAATTACAACTAATAGTAAGAGTCATACAATTTCGGGAGCAATGCTGCTGCCATTGTCGGGTGTGTGAGGCTGCGTGCCCCTGTGTGTGTATGAGTTTGTATGTTCGTGTGTGTGTGTGTGTGTGTGAGCAAATCAAAACGCCAGAAACAGAAATTCACAAAAAATCAAGCAATCCTACCTGAGGCCAACCACACAACAACAACAACACAAACATACAAACGGTAGTGGGCTTCCAAAAAGAGCAACGATAACAATAACAACAACGACAACTGTTAATGTGCGTTGTGCGTTTTAATAACTGTTTTCCCTATTGTCGCTGTGTTGTGTGTAGTGAACAAAGCGGTTCGCGCGTTCAGTTAGTTGAGCAATTTACAGTTCACATTCCGTATTGCAATAACAAAAACAACGGCGTCTGCTACCAAAAAGATACCCGCAATTGATATTTTTTGTATAAGGTTAGGTCGTCGCAGTGCGTGAGATTTGCATGCGTGTACCTGAATGTGTGGCTGTGTGTGTGTGTTGTCTGTTTTTTTTCCCCAGCCCCGGCCAACTCAAGTCGAAATGAAGTGAAAGTCTTGGCCCAAAAAGCGAGAGTGCTTCTGTTGTCTTTGTTTTTTTTTTTGGTTTTTTGTTTTTGTGCGTTTGTTGTAACTTTTATGCTAATTCGCTGTTTTTTTCTCAGTGCGTGTACCAGTACAGAAATAATAATAATAATAATAATAACAACAACAACAACAGCAGCAGCCAATATTTAAAACACCGCCACTAAGTCTGTGATTACAAATACAACAACAACAAGAACAGAGCAGCAGCAACACCAACATGGGTCTTCTGCTATCCCGCCTATGGCGCATGTTTGGCAACGAAGGTAAGTGTGCAGGAGATGGATGAAGAGTGGAAGGATTGGTGTCAACACTTGTTGGTTGTTAGCAACAACAGCAATAACATTAACAAGAAGAAGAAGAAGAACAGTAAGGAACATCATGAATTCTGTTGAACACATCTTCGACGTTGTCATTTGATTTCCGCATTTTATTTATTTGTTTTTGCTGTTTTGGCGTTCATTGTTTTCGATTGTGCTCGCTTTAAATTGCCATTAGCGCCATTTACTTAAAATTTATTTCGATTTCCGCTGTCGAAACACAATAATAACAACAACAACACACAAAGACAGTCTATTTGTCACCCACATGCTAGCGCCGCCTTTGTGTACCTATTGTTGTTGTTGTTGGTAATATTGTTAGTATTGTCGTCTAGTTTTGGAATCTCCAAAGACACACACAAAAACAGGCAATTGGACTTCGTTGTTGACCTTGTCAACAAGCGTGCGCCAACAACAACAGCGATGGCAGCAATGGCAGCAGCAGAGAAAATCGAATATTGAGCAGCTAATGAAGAGACGCAAATGTGGCGTCGACGTTAACAGCAACAGCAACAACAACCACCAACAACCACAATTGTAATAAAAAAGAGAACAAGCATGTTGTTGTTGTTGTTGCTGCTGCTATTAAAATTCTTTGCGTTGTTGCCGTTGCTGCTGCTCTGCTGCTGACGGCCCAGTTTTGATTTCTTTTGCATAAATTACATTCTCTATGCAAATTGATTTTTCTTAATTGAAATACGCTCGCATATATTGTCAAGCCGGAATGACGGAATCGGTTGCATTCCGAGGCAGTTATAGCCCCAGTTTCCCCCATCTAGCATACAGTGGTCCAAGGGCAGGCACATCTTTCGCACTAAACGTTTAAATATTAAGCTTATATTGCAAATTAAATACGAGTTTATTTACTTTGTTGCTGGAACAGTTACGGTGTTTTGGCCGATGGAAAATGTTTCTCGCCCACTGTGCCTCAAAACTAAGTAGCAGCTAAAAAAGGCATGGAAAATGTTTACATCTTTAATGAAAAACTTTCTAATTTAAATTATGGGCTTTGGCTTGCAAAAAATCTGCTTCAAACTAAACAGATTATCTTTATTTTTAATTGTCGGCCTTATTCCCAGAGACAATTTTTTGTTTGAAGAGTCAGCTCTCCAAGCAATTTCTAATATTATTGTAGTTGAAAAAAGCGAAGCCGTCGAGTTAGAAGCGATTGTACAATTTCGAATTAATCGGAAAATCTACCTGTATTCAATACTTTGAAGTTTGTTACTAAAGCTAACTAAATTAATTCATTAATATGGTTACTAATGTACGAGAAACACATGATACCATTAGTTTGTATGCCTTTCCTAAATAATAGCTGATGGTGTTTGTTCAACGATGATATTTAATTGCACTGCCAATTGTTGTCTAATCTAAATTCCTGCCAATTATAAGTCTCATGTAATCTTGATGTCAATTGCTTTAAACGGCCTTTTAATCACAGGAACGTATGTTTGTTATCTCTGCTTACAATAAACGATCTCAGCAAACTTTGCGGCACTAAGTGGGGCTTCAATTTGTGGATTTCTTTAAAGGCTCCAGAAGTCGAAGGGTTATTAATTTTGGTAGGATTGGTTGGATAAGTTGCTGTAAAACCAAACTATTAAAGCATAGTGAGTTATTCATTATTTAATTATTATTAAAGAGATAAGTGGCAAATAGTCTTGCACACTTACATAGCTGTAGGAAACCCTCATTGCCGGTCTATAAACATATTGCGTACAATAAAAGCTACCCACTGAGTCACGCGGAGAATGAAAATGAAAAAAAGTCCGCTCTCTGTCTCCGACAATGGCGGTCATAGCGGTAATGGGTTAATGCGTGTGTGCTGCTGACGCTTGCATGACTACGGTTTGTTCACCTCACGATGTGTCATGCAACAAACTGGCACATTAGAGTGACTCCCTGCCCCCTTCCTTCCTATCCAGCAATCGCTGCTTGTCACAATGGCCGCGAGTGAGTCGATTTTTACTTCAAGGTACGACTATCTATTATCGGTTACGAATTATCAATGAAAAGAGTTCTTTGGGGTTATTCTTGTTTCAATTCATTTATCAGTTTACCGATAAAGCAAGGCAGAGATATACTCGCATGTACAGGGTGTATTTGTCTGTGAATTGTTACTTTTCAGCTGTTTGTCATGTTTTCCATTCGATCGCTTTTCTTCAATTGGCAATGGAAGGGAACAACAAGGTGGATTTAATTCAAATTCGTTTTATACTTGTAGTTGTTGTTACCAACTGCGCTTACTTGTGTGATAAGCTGTGGCTGAACTCCACAATGCCTTGACCGTTGACTGGCGGTTCGTGAATTGCTTGCCGAGCTGACGGCCACTAGCCAAGGTCGTCGTGGGACCCACAAGGCTGTGGTTCCCCACCGCCAGCAGCTACGCGTCAACGATGACGACAATACAAGCTGAAAAGGCGCAGGAAAATTGTGTCATATGTCGCTTGACCTTAATATGGACTTGAACTCGCGCCTGGCCCCCTGTCCGTCTGTCCGCCAGTCCGCCTGGCCGCCAAAAACGAGAACACAGACAAATGGCCAAGTGGACGGCGATTTGCTTGCGTTGATAAAGTTATTGTAAAACGATTCCGAACTGTTGCCCATTGAGGAGGTTGTTTTCTGTCAGTCTTACTTATCAGTATCAGTCTCTTATCAGCGCATGGGTTATAAACTGCCAGCTAGTTAAGCAATTACAACATTTGTTAGCCTTATAAGGCGTATCTGTGAACTTCTGACAATACTCGTATAAGGTGTAAAAAGTTCTAGACTTTAGACATAAACTGTGTGTCTGATTTCCTAATTGGGTTCTCCAGATCTGTTGGTTCTTCTTAATGCAACAAATGGTCGCTTGGCTTAGCAGATTTGTTCAGTCATTCGGTTCCTATTGTTTAGTTTCTATATAAGCTATTTTTTCATTGTGAGAAGGCAAATTTTACAATGAACATAATAAGCAATACATATTATTTTAATGCCTACCTTTGGAGCCCCTTTTCCCCTCTTTGAGTCTGAATTTTGTAAAAAAAAAGCTTCTTAGTGAAAAAACAGACTTACATTAAAACTATATACATGTAGGGAATATATGGGAGTTATATGTAAGTCTCAAATCATTTAGATCTAAAAATGTTAGCTGTTTTTTCCCCCAATTTGTTCTCGTGCCCAGTTCACCCGCATCGAGCACGCTCCGATAACCTTTATGAGCAATTTAAATATACACTTGTGTATTTCCAATATATAGTATTTATATACATACATATGTATGTATGTGCATCGTATATGTAGAGCTAGAGCTGATTGTGCCTATTTACCGATTAGTTACAATTCCTATTGAATGTGCTGCTTGTTGAGAAATATTATTGAACAGCATCTCGTCATTTTGTTTCTCATTTCATTTCATATCTATACTTGTATATATCTTATTTTTTATCACACGGGCTTCAATTGTGCGCAGTTCAGTTCCTTCAACCTGTCTGGGCGGTTTTGCTTTTTTACCGAACATAACATTTTGAGGTATTTTGTTACCTGCTGCTGTTGTTGTTGTTGTTGTTTTCGGGTGTGGGCCACAGCTGTTGTTGGCCGAGTCCAAAAGGGCACCAACAGCATTGATTTCGTCTTAAATTTCATTAAAAAATTGGCTGCCCTGCTGCCTCTGTAATTCTATATGCGCCAATCATACATATAGTATTGCCAAAGGAGCAGAAGATTTCCATTTTTCAAGTTTTAAATTTTTCCTTTTTTAGTTTCCCTTTGATCAGCATTCAATTAACATCCGCTTAGTAGCACAAATAGTAATAATAAAAAAGCTTTATATATAATAAACAGCCATAACAAAAACATCAACTTTTTGTATTTACTCGCTGTTGACGTTTTTATTTTCAACGCCATTTTCGCTGTTCTTGTTTACGTGTGTGAGTGCTTTTTTATAAAATTCAAGGTGAAGATCGCCGCGCAATTTCATTAAACAGTTTTATTTTACTCTAGAAAATGGGATTGTAGCACGAGCGGCCCGCTTGTTAGGCAATGCATAAAAAATGATTTGTGTTTAGTTTATTTTAATGCCTTTAACCGATTTATCAAGGCAATATCACACTCAATGGGACCCCATATCTCTTCAGAAATATGTAATATATTTATTTATTTAATCGACAAACAAAGCTGTTTGTTTATTTCAATACCTATTTTGGATTCATGAAGGCATCTTCACTTCAAATCGGATTAAAAATCGAGGATAACTTGTCAGTAAGATCGGATATTAAAAGATTAGCAAAAGTTTCCATTATGCATCTAAATTTTTTTTTGAGTTTATTTTATTTCAACACTTATTTCTTATGATTAATCAATTCATTATCACTTCAAATCGGAATCAAAATCGAGGATCACTTATTAGAAATATGGGATTTTAAAAGATTAGCAGGGCGTTTAAAAGACTATGAATTAAAAAGTTGTTTATTTCAATACTTATTTTGGATTTATTCATTTCCACTTCAAATCGGACTCAAAATCGAGGAGAACTTGTCAGTAATATCGGATATTAAAAGATTAGCAAAAGTTTCCATTATGCATCTAAAATTTTTTTTGAGTTTTTTTTATTTCAACACTTATTTCTTTTGATTAATCAATTCATTATCACTTCCAATCGAACTCAAAACCGAGGATCACAATGATTTCTAAAATGTTTTATTAAATGGGGTTAGTTGGTGATTATTTTTTTTTTTCTAAAAAACCTTTTTGAGGACAGAGATTCTTTTTTTTTTAGAAATGTAGGTAGATTAGTGATCTTCATATCCCCAAACGAAATTCACATATCGCTTTATAAGTATACGCTCATTTAAGGGGATTCGGTATTTTAATTGCTATAGGTTTGGGTCATAACTTTAGCTTATCAGTTGAAAATATAGGATCGGAATCGAACATCTCTGAGATGTCTATAACTAGTGTACTATTTATAAATAATAATTTATAAATAAATAAATAAATAATGCTTTTATTTTTCAGTTTCACTTTGACAGCAAATTAAGTTTTAGGTTAGTACTTGTATATGGTTTTGTTGGAGGGATAGTGATCTCTTGGTCTAAAGCTATCTAGATATGACTCTGTATTGTTTAAAGGTATTTTAAAAGGTTGGACCTTCTAGTCATAACATTTTTGAAATTGTTTAATAACATTTAAGCGTATTATTTTGAGTATTGAAAAGGAGTTGTTGAACTCTTCTAAAAGACAAGCTCTTATAGACTTTAATTTCGTCTAGAAACGTAATTTCGTGACCTCTCTTGACAAATTTTGTATAGGTATTTAGCTTTTGAAGAGTTGTGTTGAAAATATAGATTGTGGTTAAAGAGCGTAGGGTATGAACTGTTCGTTCTGATCCATCTGCCGCTACACGTTGATTATTTCTGTTAATTGTATTTGTGTTTTTGTTACGTTTTTAGCATCGATTTGTTGTGTTGTTTGCCTTTCTTCGACGCAGCTAGTCCCCAAGCTATTGTTTTTTAGTTTCATTCGATCTTTTGACCTGCAATATTAATCCTTTGCAGTGAGATCAGAAGCTCAAGCTGGTGCCGATAAACACTGCAACTAACTAACTTTCGCATCGATCGGCAACATCAATAACTCTCTGATTGTGCAACTCGAATACATGTAGAGATGTGAGAGCGTTTCTGCGTCTCAACGATGAAGTCATCGAATTCGTCAACAAATTTGCGCTTTTAAATGAATTTGTTGTTGTTGTTATTGTTGCTTATCGAGCGAATAATGTTTTCATTTTTTCATGTGTTTGGCCAATCATAAATATTTATAAATCTTATCGGAGGAGAAACGTAACAAAGCGAGAAACTTTCGGTTTCAATAGCCCATTTCCATACTGAAGCTGTGTCTTGGCACGAAACGAGAAAACGACAAACCGTATTAAATGAGTTGGCTTTTGACTTCTGACGGTTCAATGAACGCCCTCTGGGTATTAAGGCCAATTAAGTGTGTCCGCCCTTACTCTGCGTAGAGAAATCGGTTAAGTGAAATGAAAATGAACAAAACCGGTTTAACGTTGCTGGAATGAAATGATAATTAAATCAATAAGAATTTTCCATTTGAAATCATATTTCTGACATAACACTTGCCAAGATCTGAATAACTAAATAATGCAATGGAAATAAAGAATGGAACACAGAATTGATGTTTTGGAAAATGGGTTTATTTTAAATAGTCCGTATCAATACAATGTTTTGCACGATCAAGAAGCATTTCGAACGAGGCATGTCCTTCAGCATGTGGGCTTCAAAGGCCTTAGCGCTTTTCTTTTAGATGCAATTTTCCAAATAGGGTTTAGTAATACTGAGTCAAATCAAGTGAATATATAGAGAGTGGTTGATGATTAGCACTCGATTTTTTCACAAGTTTCGACCGATGACGCGGAACGAATGACCGATGAATAATTTCCTTCGCATTGTAGACTTGACTTCTCCAAACAACTTGTAGCTTTTATTTGTCACGATCCTATTATTATTTTATAACTAGTCACAATTATGTACAAGAAGTTGTGGCCCTGACTTCTTCCGAACTTTTTGTACCGCTACCACAAATACCGTGTTAGTATGCGCGTGATAGTTCGGCTTCTATATATCCGATTGTTATGCAATTTTGAGGGAATATCGATAAAAGATATATCTAACTAGAGTAGCAGCTTTATTCTAAGTAATGAGTTATGATAAATATAATTGACCATTTCTAATTCGTACTCATATTACACTTTCAAACATCAGACAGAAGAAAAGGCTCTACTCTATAACTAAACGTCGAATCACAGCAACTACTTCAGCAGCAAAGGTTTCTTCATTTTTATTTCCATTCTCAATTAACATACATATGTAAATGAAATCACTTTTCACGTCCGAAAATACTCTAAAGAATTGGTTTTCAAGTTCCATTTCCACGTCCAAACATCAGTTCTGTAACATCAATCAGTTAAACGTAGAAAAATAAAAATTACAAATGACCACATTTGATTCGAAACAGTTCTTCAATTTGAAAATGTTTATTTAATCTAAATTCAAAATTAGAGGCTTTTTATTATTTCGAAAATTTAATGAACCGAATAACTATTGAAGTTATTAAGGCTTTTTCTCTTGAAAATATTCTGGTTTTTTTTGGAAAATGGTTCTAACAGTTGCGTTACGATAATACTGTACTTAAGATCTTTTTGTAAGAAAGACGATCAAATACAGATATGCTGCATATATTATAGGGTAAATAGTTTGCAACAAAAAGAGCAATTAATATTAACAGCGCAACTTTTTGGGTTTGGAACTTTATCATAAAATGAGCGAGTTTCTTGGAAAGGGGCCACTCATTGAACTATCAAATAATCCGGAACAATTTAACGTTCCATGGCTGCAATAAAATTGTTTTTTTAAATTAATTTTTTTATAATCGGGTTTGGTCTTCAATCCCTAAAGTTTATATCCTTCTCTCTCTATATACATATCGTATATCATAAATGTAGTGTTTTGATTTTTACATTTAACCAAATATATTGGAAAAACTATGCATAGCTGATTATTTTAATGACCTCCTCTCCATTTCTCACTCCAATAGAACACAAACTTGTTATGGTTGGTCTCGACAATGCGGGCAAAACAACAATACTCTATCAGTTTCTGATGAACGAAGTGGTGCATACAAGTCCGACCATTGGCTCCAATGTCGAGGAGGTGGTCTGGCGGAATATTCACTTTCTGGTATGGGACTTGGGTGGACAGCAAAGCTTACGGGCCGCCTGGAGCACATATTACACAAATACCGAGGTGAGTTCGGTGTCTCACTTTGGATGGCAGTTGAAATTCAAACGCATAACGCACATATTTCGCATTTCACAGTTCATCATAATGGTAATCGATTCAACGGATCGCGAGCGATTGGCCGTGACACGCGAGGAATTGTATCGAATGTTGCAACACGAGGATCTCAGTAAAGCCAGTCTGTTAGTGTACGCAAATAAGCAGGTGAGTTCGAGTGTTAAAATGTAAGTGACAATCTTTTAATGCTCTCTGCATCTTCAGGACCTGAAAGGCTCAATGTCTGCGGCGGAAATTTCCAGGCAATTGGACTTGACTTCCATTAAAAAACACCAATGGCACATACAAGCGTGTTGTGCGCTCACAGGCGAAGGGTAGGCTACACATCATTCTTCATTCTAGCTCCTTGGTGAAATCTTTCGATTCTGACAAGTTTTATGCTTGATAGAGAAGTTGCAGCATTCTGCTCATAGTTTTTTAGTTTGCTCTTGTAGAAATTACGAAAGAGCTGGCTAATACAAGTCATATTTAGAAATTGAAAGCTGTAGAAACATATAAGCTATGCGTGTGCCAAGTTTGGTGCGTCTAGCTCTTACAGTCTACGAAATACAAACGTTCAGACCGTCGAACATACTTCATACATTATTATTTTTATTCTTGATTGTAAATAAGACATCGTTTTGTAATTCTCCTATGAATTTGTATCAGCAGTTTTAAATCAAATCGAATACATTTTGTCCCGTGCACACGTACTTCAAGTTATTGGCAATATGACGTTTGTATAGACATAGTATCTCTTGTTATATATATAGCTTTGTTGGGTTATCAACAGCACGCTGCGATAAGGCCAGTTCAGCTTAGTCCGACAGAACAGTTCGCAAACAGCTGGCAAATTTGTTTGCCTCGCTATGAAGATTTAAATGTTTATATGCCCGATAATGCCTTGGCTGACATTGGTCGCACTCAGAACATGAAATAGATATAGAAAATCTGTAAATATCTAAACATAATGAGGTTCACGTGAACTCCGCTTTACAATTTAGTGGCAGCTAATAAAAGTAGGCTTGCTGAGAGACCGGAACGTAGCGAGTAGAAAGATTTCTAGTGACAACCGCAATTTTCTAGTTAGTTGTTATAGACTGTTTAGCTTAGGAGCCTTGAAAACCGCACAGATAATATGTATTTTAAAGATGGAAAGCAAATGAAATGCAAAGTTCCTTCAACGTTTGCCTTAAATTTCTAAGGGCCTGTTAACATTTTTCAAACAAATTGCCTGAAAGAAGAATAATATTTTCTCAATAATGGGCATTAAATTATTTCGTATATATTTCAGATATATGCGTATGTATTTAATTATTAACATAGGTGCTTTTTTTGCGACGCTTCAAAGTTTCTCTTAGTAAAGATTGTTTTATTTTTTTTTTGTTATATACAATAATAAAAATTTAGTGTTAAAATCATCTTGCAAAATATAAGTAGGTGAGTCTGAAAAGGACATTAAAATTCATACGCCTGATTCACGACACTCCTAGTCCTATTTATAACGAGCTCTATATTGAGAATAGTCGAGTTTTTTGAGAGAAATATGTATAATACATACACATTTTTTAGGGTCCACTTTTTAGGAGTGTTTAGTTCTTGGCAATATTTTCTGCTTCTATAGATCAATATTCTCTGGGCAAACTTTTTTTAGAGGTAGACATTGTTAAAGAATTTTTTCGATGTATCAGAATAATGGGAGAGTTAGGAAATCATTCAATTCGATTCAATTTTCTTAAAAACCTGAATTGACAAATGAGATAAAGATATATTATTGTTGAGAGTACAGACTAGCCTTTTTACTTCATTAAAAAAAATAAAATTAGGAATTCAAATGTACAGAAAACATGCGCTAATGTAAATGTTATACGTTTTTCGATTTCGAATTAAATTAGAGCATATAAATAGGGAAATTGTTATAATTGGAAATATTTATAGAACTGATTGATATTCTTCTCATGAGTTTAAATTGTGATACATTGAATAAATTTTAAGTGATGAAGATGGAATGATATCGGTTCATTATCTGTGCTCCCAATAGAAATGGAAAACTTGGAGAACTCAACGGAACCAAACTTATCTCAATCTCTCTTTCTCTCTCTTTTCGTTTTTGGCTCTCTTTGGCGCTCGCAGCTTGTATCAGGGACTCGAGTGGATTGTGCAACGCATCAAAAAGAAATGACAGACAGATATGGACTGCGCTAGTTTATAGTTAATTAATTAATTAATTGAATAATTTAGACAAAGCAAATTTTGCAATTAACAATTACAACAACAACAACAACAGCAGCAGCAGCAACAGCAACAGAAACAGCGGCAGCAACAACAACAACAACAGCCGCAGCCGCAGCCGCCGCCGCCATTCTGCCAACAGAATGCGTGAGAGAGTGCGGGTGAGGAGAGCTGGAGAGAAAGCGCTCTCTCGCAGGGCTGCAGAGCCGCAAAGCAACCAAAACTGTCTGTTCATCAAATAATAGCTTTCAGGTAAAGGCTAAACTTAATTACAAATTTAATGTACGAGTATTTTTTTCTAAACTAGTTATGACAACAAATTGTTCAAATTGTAAATGCCATCGTGTGCAGTTTAGCTTTCTATACATAATCGCGTTTCTTAAACCTAATCAATTCATTAATTAATGTACGTTTAGTTTGCTGATTGTTGATTTGGGGGAAACACTTCTTTTATTTTCACTTTTGTCTTGTCTGTTTGTTAAATTCTTTTCTGTTGGCCTCTGCTTTTGTACAAACTATTTAGTTCCAATAAATCAAAATTGATTGCGCCGTTCGTTCCACTGCTGATCCGAAAATTCGTGTGCTTCAAACCGAATCGAGAATCGTGTGTATACCCCAATTGTTTTAAAAACTAAACCTAAGATATACACTTATACATATACATACATACATACATACATACATACTTATATATATATATATAAATTGACAAGTTTTTTTGCTCGCCTTCCCTTTGCTCCATAAGATTAGTTAAATATTGTACGAGAGTTGGTTGCCTTTTTGAGTGCAGCGCGTGTTAAGCTTTATTTAAAATTTAATACACAAATTGACGAAGGAACGAAGTATAGATTGATCGAAGGATGGGAGAAGGAGAAGAAGAAGATGAAGGTTTTCAAATTTAGTTTCTAAGTTGTTTGTTTATGCCTTAATTAATGTAAATGCTTAATCTATTTTTAAACTAATTAAGCAGCGCCAATTAACCACTTCCATTTGAGTAAACAACAATAAACAAACAAACAAACAAACAAACAAATGAAAAAGTCAACAAACAAAACACAAGAAAACAAAAGAAAAGTGCAACACTTTCAAAACACATCCAGGCGAACATTCAACGAGAGACAACGTCGAGACATATAGAGTTATATGATATGTACAATCATAGACAACAAGCCACGATTCACGAATAAGCATGCATACACAAACAAGTACGTGTATACATATATAAAATATATGTACAAGTATGTATATATTTTGTACATCGCAATAGAAAATACATACATATACATAATTGCCAATGTAATTAAAAAATAGACGTTGATATGAAATTTATAAAGAAAAAAAAAAACAAAAACAAAACACATTAACGATAGTCCTTAACTTTGGCGGTGCAGCTAAAGTTGATGTGCGTTCTCCAGGGCCACATAGATAAGTAGTATATGGCGGCTATATCATAACATACGCATCAAACAAAAAAAAAAAAAAAAAAACAACAAAAAAGAACTGGAACTAGAAAGTGCCGCCCGGCCCAGATGGACAACGCCCAAAAGTCAAATTAATATGTTGTGTGTGTTTTTTTGTGTGCATGTAATCTGTTCTGTGTTTGCCAAACTGAAGATGTTGAGAACGGAAGATATTGAGGATAATGATTACGGTAATGATAATGCAAATGTATTTGTAACAAAGTTATACATATTTCGTAGGCTAAACAACTAATGTTAAATTGCAAGTGGCATGAAATAAAAAACAAGGAGAAAATTCAACACTTTTCCAGCAATTCCAGTTCGATTTTCAGTTTCTGTTGGTCACCCTCCTCCTCACTTCTTTCATAAAAAGTAGCTAAATAGAGCGAACAGGGAGATGGAGAGAAAGAGAGAGAGAGAGAGAGAAGATTGAATTTCAGAAATTTGGTAAGCAATACAACTATTTTAAAGGCACCATTTGCAGTCAGAGTAAGAATAAGAATAGATCGGCCCTGAAACAGATAAAAAGTAAGTTTATGTGAACCGGTATTGATGGCATTTTTTTTTTGTTAGCGAGAATTTTAATGAATAATCTCCAGGAGTTTACATTTCTGGTAAATGATGCTTGTATACTGACCTCAGCTCTTGATTCTATCAATCGCGACCTCCTCTTCTCTTGAAGCTTCAGCTTATTGGACTTCCATATACTCTTTTGGAGTATAAATATTATCCCAACTCGTGGTGTTCCTTGGATATTTATTATTAATTCTGTTAATAAACGAACTGCTTTCTATACTCATGTATTCGTTGGATGTGAACATTTTCTATCGTAGGACGACCCTCTGCAAAATATTCGTTTCGTAATAATCTGAACTGCTTGCAATAGTCATAATGAGTACTCGGTTTAGTCAAAACTATATCGAATTTTTTATTTTTGTGCTAAGGTTATTTTTAATGAGAGTTTCCTTAGTACAGACTGTATTTTGTGTATTTCCTACTTGAGCTTTAATCGTCGTCTCCACTATCGTATACAAGTCTAAAGGTATAAACTAAACTAAACTACTGTACAGTTCCGTAGTTCGGCCTGTACTAGATTAGTATTCATCTGTTTTTTATTTTATAAAATGCATCGGTTTCGTCTAAATAAATATTTTCATAAATTCCACAAGAAAATTTATAAAAGCATATATTTTTCAGAAGACATTTATATTTTTGTATTGATATTTCTTATTAATATTTAACAAATTATGCAAAACAAATCTGCTAAAAGCAATACTCTGCGAAAAATAAGTAGAAAAGCTCTATTTTAATGTTTATTTAGTTCGCATAAGAATCGTCCAAAGTACTAAGTTTTTAAATTTCTTCTACTACTGTTACCGACTCTTTTTCCATTTCCGAGTTCGATTAAATTGTCTGGCATCGATATTGGTAAATGTTTTTACATTTTTGAAACCTTTCCTTAGTCATTCAAAACAATTTTAGAGCCTTTCTCTGCGCTGCACAGATGAGTTGTTATTGTTGTGTCTGTGCGAGCTTACAGTTTGAGAGCGAAAGCTTTGCGCCCAACAAACCGTGCTCAGGTGGCAGACCAATGCTTGCCCAACTGTGGCCAATAACAGAGACTCTGAACTCAAAGCAGGAACGCCAAAAACCGCAACGTAAAAGCTTTGAAGTCGCGATTAAAAAGAAAACATTATTTATGAGAAACAGAAACACCTGTGAAGAGAAGAAAAAGCCCCAAAATGACGAGAAAAGAACAACAACAATTAAAACAATCAGAGCTAACAGACTAGCAGAGGCTAGACAAAGAGGCGTGGCCATGGTTAGCTAAGAAGAAGAACAACAACAGCAAGAAAACAAATTGAAATCTAAATCGCAGCATTCGTTCCGTTCGGCGGCCAGTTACTTGAGCGACCTCGTGGTGCGAACAACAAGAGCTTTAGCAGCGGAAGCTTTGCGATTGGCTGACAACAACAATAATGCACACAATTGAGGTGCCCGCATTGAACGGTCTGGGACAACCGATCTCGGACATTCCGGCCGGTCCTGCCAGCTACCAGCCACAAGTGATTTTTGCTCCAAATCAGACAGCCCCATCCCAGGCACGCATCGGCTCGTTGGTAGCTGATCTGACGGCGCGGGGCCAGTTCTTCTATGGCATCGAAATAACGGCACGTACCGCTGGTAAGCCGACGCATCTGGATTTTAACGACTTTCTGCCTGTCCTGCCCACATTCGTCAGTCTGGTCTGGCTGGGCTGGGAATATTGGAAGGTACATCCCATTGAGCATGTAAATACGTTAACTCTGGCTAAGCACCTGGAGCCGCATATTCCCGTAATGCCACATCTGAGTGCCTATCGGCTGAGTGAGAAGCGATTAGATGCATTTCTGGCGATGAATCTCAGCAACATGCTGGCCGTTCGTGGAGATAAAGTGTATGCCGATCAGATCTATACATATAGTCAGCAGCTAGTGAAGAGGGCGCGACGTGCCCGGGGAGGTGAGTATTTAGTTTAGCAGCTCTGTGGGGCTATCAGCGGAATCGGCGTTACTACGTCCCCTCTCCCTCTGTCCCTTTTTGCTTTGTAGATACGCTTTCTATTGGCGTTGGAGGTTATCCGGAGGGCTATACAAACGAGCCCACTCACACACATTATGCAGCGCAAAGTATTGAACATCTGAGAGAGAAGGTGAGATGAAAATAGAAGATTTTTAATTAATAACCTTTCTTGATCGATTCCGGTTTATATTTGGGGTATTCACACTAAGTTGAGAATTAACCGGTTCAGTAGTTTCAATTGGGCCTTCAGGTTGAGGTGCAGAATCACAGGGGAATCACAAATCGCAAGTGAAACAGGCCTTGTCTTGTCAGCTTTTTCAATTGCCACTTTGTCATGCTCAAGTCCCCTCGAGTGTCTCCAGTATTTTAAGACTCATAAACAACTCGACTGCCAATTATTTCATGCAGTCCCCCCATCTCGTATCCGGTTATATATTTAAAAAAGTCAATTATCATCGCAATTTAGAGAGACAAAGCAATCGTGAATTGTCGAATTTTTAGGGAAAAGTGTTTACAATTCTCAGTATTGAATAATCAGAAAAATAATTCGTTTTGTATACCAAAGGGTCCAACCTCGTTCTGAGAGAGATAATCAGTCGGTGGAAAATTTAGCCAGACTCAGCAAATATTAGCCCGCGATTTGCAAGATAAGCAGGTCTGAATGTAAATCCCCTTCTTAGGAAAGCGATTTTTGTTGTTGCTGAATGGTAGACTAATGTTCAAGAGACCGAAACGTTGATCCCCGCTTAGATACAGAATTCACTTATTTCTTACCCAATTAATACTGCTTAACATTTGAACCTTAATTCTTGCTCAATTCATTTAAAGACTAATCTTATAATATTATTATTATTATTAACTATATTTGTAGGTTGAGTCCGGCGCTGATTTCATCATCACACAGTTCTGCTACAGGCCCGAGATGATTGTACAGTTCGTTCGGGATTGTCGCGCGGCCAACATCACAGTTCCGATCATGATGGGAGTGGCGGTGCCAGACTCATACCGCAGCTATGGGACATTGGAGAAGATAACGGGTGTGCGACTGCCGCTGGAGCTGCGCGCCCAAGTCGAGCAACTGAAAGAAACGCCCGCCGCAGTATCCAAGTTCTTTGAGGATCTGGCGCTCCAGATCATTCAGCACGTGTTGAATGCCAATGTGGGTGTCTATGGTGTCCAGTTCTTTACCATGAGTCGCTTCAAACCCGTGCTGGCCGTGCTTCAACAGCTACGTGAACTCGGCATACTACAGGTACCGCCGGCCTCTCCAGAAACTACAAATTTGATCTGATGATCTGCCCTAATTATTAAGTAGTACAATTATTGAACGGAGAATGTTTAAGAAGTTCCTAAGTATACCTTAAATTGAAGGAAGCACTTGGAGAAACATTTAAGACGGAAGGTAATTTTTTTTTAATTTAATTTTTTTTTATTTTTTTAAGTTTTTTGTTTTTGTTTTTATTTTTTTTTTTTAATTTGTTTTTTCATTATTATTATTGAAGATCACCAACATTTGCTATCAATGTTTCATTTTCAATTTAGATTTAAAATATAGTTAATTGACCTCAAGTATAAATAAATGGTAACTTAATTTTTGGAGCCTGTAATTGGAATCTGTAAACTGACGACCAGCTGCCTTATAACGGGCTGAGTTGGAGGGGGGTAAGTATTCCTATACATACATATATAACTCCGCAAATATTGCTCGCAAGAGATTGATCAATGAGTTGCTCATTGTGCTGCTCATATTCCTAAAATTTGCGTACAATACTCAGAGCATTAGCGGAATGCGAATCCTGGCTCTGATCCTGAATCGGGACTCATCAATATTTACATAAAATTATGTATACAAGTATGTGAGTTCGCCTGGGCCGATGGTTGAAATTGATTTAGTGGTTAAAAAAGTGTGCGAATTTTAAACAAATTTAATCGACCCAATTCCTTGTTTACGGACTATTATTATAATTAGTGTTTAATTAACATTTTCTTAAGGCAAAGTTTGAATTTACTTTTCTCATTACTCTAAACACTGGTCGGGAATAGCTTTAATGCAATAAAGTTATTGTCTGCTAAAAGGATTATGTTCCTCAAATTAGTTCCCCATTGAGTTCGTAAACTCTTTGGTTAACTAAAGAACTCGAAGTAACTCAAAGTTTATCCAAGTTGGAGCTAAAAACGTTGCTATTAAACAATATGTACTTATTTCCTTCAAAATCTTATTAATGATTTACCTAATGTGTCAATCCAAAATCATACTTGAAGTATTCAAATATTTCTAGCTAACGACTATTTTTTGATGAGGGTGCTTTGAGGCGCTATTTATAGCCTAAAGAAAAGTGTTCTGTATGGATAGTATAGCGCGATTACAACTTCGAGTATATCTTATATGTTATCTTTAACTTTTTAAGTTAGTCCATTGATGCATTACTTCTCAAGAAGTTTTCAAAAAACAATTTTGCAACACTTAGCCAATGATTACAAAATGCTGCATTAGTTAAATACCAGAAGCAGTCACATTTGAGAGGACAACTGTAGACCGTCTCGAATGCAATAACTACATTAGTTCCATTGCACACCTGCAATAATAAATAATAGACTAATAGAAAAAAATTATAATAGGATAGTACATGAAATTCAAACAATTCTCTAGAAATAATTTAAATATTATTGCGATTTTCTGCTCTAACCGATACATTTAAATAAGCGTGGAACAAACTAGCTAAAAAGTTAGCTTCGCCTGAGCTTCACATTCGTATGTACATATGTATATACAGCCTTAACTGTGTTTTAGAAACAGAACTATTTTTCTCCATCATCATTGCCAGAAAACTACAACAACTACTAAGAAAATAGGTGGCTTTAAAAGCTTGAAGAGCGGTGTAGGCTGCTTCAAACAGTCGTTTAAGATAGATTATTATCTTTGCAAATCAGCCTCTACGTTTCACTTCATTATATTTTAAAGATCGTGTTTTTTTTAATTGCTGCTCATTCAGCGACTAAATGAAATAAATAAGATATAGGTAGATATTTTTTATAAGAACAAATTGTGTAATAAAAAGAAATCATAACGAAAGCTTTTAAGATAACAAAATGTCCTCCTTCTAAACGCAACACGAGTTTAAAAAAACACATACATATATGCGCATAAATATATATAATATGTATGTATGGACATGGCACAGGTTTCTTAAAAATCTGTGTTGGCCTTGCAAGTGTTTGTTACTCTCCGCTAGCAACGGTAAATTGTTGCACTTGCTTTTTGAATGCAACGCTTATTTAACGGTTAAAGCTCTCAAGAGTTTCTCACGCAGCCGCTCTCAGCAGCCGGCGCTCTCTGCTGCTCGCATCGCATCGCATTGTTGTTTTTCCTGCTGTTGTAGGCGTCGACGTCGGCGTTAGCGGATTGTCATCGCGCTTCCTTGCGTCCTCTCCTCGTTCTCTTTTACTGCTCTTCTTATTGTTGTTGCTGCTCGTTGGCATTTCAGCCGCCCGCATATCCTCGTTGCCGAAGTCAAGCTATGACAGCGGCTGCGGCCATGGTACAAACAATCCAGAAGGTAACATATTGCGCAGGTCCGTTCTTCGATGGCTCGTGTGACGTCACAAACTGCTACGTGCCGTTGTCATAGGGGGTCCTCGTTGTGCCAACACTTTATAAAAATAATCCGCAAAGGTTTTAAAATACACATGAAGGCGAAAATATTGAATTTATCTATTGATTATATATTTCTTATTAATTCTTTTTTATTTTTTTTAGTATTTATTTTTATTTATTAATATTTATTATAATTTATTTTTATTTATTATAATTTATTTTTATTTTTTATAATTTTTTTTAATTTATTATAATTTATTTTTATTTGTTATTATTTATTGTCGAGAGCTAAACAATTTAATTTGCTGAGAAACCTACAAAGATGTGCAGAGAATGATGGTCTGTTCGTGTGACGTCACAAACTGCTACGTGCCGTTGTCATAGGGGGGTCCTCCTTGTGCCCAAACTTTATAAAAATAATCCGCAAAAGTTTTCAAAATGTATAACAAGGCGAAAATACTTGTATTGAATTATTTATTATTATTTTTGTCGAGAGCTATGAAATTAAATTTTCCGAGTTCAAATGCTGTGCTAGCTTTAGCGCCAGTTCAAAGTCAGGCTTATGTTCTTTTCTGGCTACTTGCAAAACGCTAACACAGTATGTCCTTTTACCCTTTGGGTACAGGAATAGAAATATGTAAACTCGTTTCATATACCAGCAGCGTAACACATTTGTATTTTTCAGATAAAAAGTAGAAGCTCTGAAAGGCTGTTTGTAGTTTTTATACTCTGTACCCGTAGGATAAAAAGGATATATTAGATTTGTGCAAAGTGTGTAAAGTTTATTTTATTTTATTTTTTGGTGTCCTGTTTCCCATATAAGATGTGGTCTGTTTAAATCTGAACAGTTTCTATTAATGTTTATTTATGTATTAATTTATTTAATTATTTATTATCAGTTCGACTGCAGTGTAAAATGTACAGGGCCTTAAACTAGTATTCAATAAAAATAAATAATATTTAAATTCTAAACTTTATTATTCATTATTCATTAACTCATAACTAGGTACAAATTATGTTATAAGGTGTTGAGGGTATTGCTATTATTCAGGTATTGGATTATCATTTCTATATTAGAGGGGTTGAACGGGGCTTATTGTGGGGAATAGAGAAGTTCCTATACGAGTAGGTTGTTTTTAAGGTTTTTAAGTTTGAGGATGTCTGTAATAAATGTGAGTGGGAGGAAAAAAGCATCTTTGATATTTATGCATCATCTATAACTTGCAATTAATATCTGCCGTGTTTTTCAGCCTTCATTTGTTGCTTTACTTTAACAAAATGGAGCTTGAAACAATAATCCTCCTTATTTATTTATTTAATTATGGCAACAAACATTGACTGTCGATATAGGAGGAAAATATATACAAATTTAAAAAATTATTTTTTAAGCTAGAAAAATTTTAGAAGGAGAAATCTAATCAAATTACAATAATATCTAATTAACGCCTCCGAACCGATGGGGGAATATTTTTTGCCACAGCCAAGTGTGGTCAGAGGCGTCAATAGACCTACCGGTATAAAAAAAAAAAGAAAAACTTAACAGAGAGAATAAGCTTAGAATTACTTAAAAGCTAATTTTAAAAAGAACAAAAAATGAAAACAAAATATGTGCCAGTCCGGCAAGCTATGCCCCAGCTCGCAGCCGATCCTGGTCAGAGATTCCGGAGATGGCTGAAAAGAGAGGCTTTTATTAGAGGAAGACGTACCTGCGCAGTGAGCGTAGAAGTGTGGCTGCCATTAATGCGATACCTTCTCTCTTTTAACCGTGGGGCAGTGGCAGCGGCAGCATAAGCAGCAATGAAGAGATAATGCTTGGCTCCAGCTCGCAGGTCAGGCAGCAGCAGCAGCAGAAGCAGAAAAAATTGCAAGTCCTCGGCCGCCGACAGCCTCGCAGACCGAGCATTACGAGAATTGTGAACATTGCGGACAGACAGAGTGCTTTACGCTTTAAACGTGTCTGGTTCTCGTTCTCGTTCTCGATTTCGTTCTCGTACGCGTACGCGTTCTCGTTTCCGGTTCTGCTTTTGGGCACTGGGGCCACTTGCCGCTGCTTCCACACGCGCGTGCCACCACAGCTCCCAAGTGGATATAATGCGGTAACGGGTACGGGTACGTCGGATAACGGTAACGCGGTAGCGCTGCCGCGCCAAATATTTAAACAAATCTCCAGCCAACTCCAATTGCTATGTTTTTTTTTTTTTGTTTTTTTTTTTTTGAAACAAATGTTTTTGTGTTGAATATGTTGTTTTTTTTTTGCTGTTGATAAAAAGTGCACATTAAATCGAACAAATGTGATGTGCTGTGCTGTGCTGTGATGGGGCAAGCTAATTAGTTCAAATGCCAGCTCCGAGCACCGAGCACGGAGCACCGAGTCGATGCTGCCACCATCGCCTCCTCGCGAGACTGCGTGACTCTGTTTTATAAATGAGTGTGCCTCTGTCTGAGTGTGAGTGTGTGTGTGTGTGTGTGTGTGTCGAAGTGGGCGTGTGTGTTAGTTAGTGGGGGCGTTTGGTGGTCGCTTGTCTATTGATAGTATTAGTGTGGGTGTGTTTCTGTGAGTGTCCCTCCCCTCCCTCCCTCCCTCTAGTCAAATTAGTGCGGCCAACCCAGTCCACTATCTATAGTATGTATGTACGAGTAGCTGTGCAAATTTTGATGGCCGGGAGTGCTGCGATACTGTGGCTCGACAGAATTGCAAATCCTTCAATAAATATGCAAATAAATTACAGTTGATCGAATCCCATGGCTGTGCATCCTATTTATGTAGAAAGCGGGTGGCACCTGGCCTGGCCTGGCCTGGCTCCTAAAAGAAATGTGTATTTGGCTTACTACACGACTCTAATCCGCTCCATTAGTTGCCTCAATATTTGCAGAGCATTTCAATAAATGTACTCTCTTGCAGCTTATTAACTCGGGGATTACGATTGCACTCAATTCCATATCTGTTCCAGATGTGGTACGAGTTTCGGAATTTTAAATGTTCATCTCAAAAGCTCTTGCCCTG